GTAGCTGCTACCTTGATGCGGTGATCGGGCTTGCCTATCGTGATGAACCAACCGAGCTATATTGACTGGAACTTATTTTCCTGTAGGTTCTACCATGCCAGGCAGTTCGATTGGAGAACGGTAAGACTAAAAGCAGCAACTCGAGTTCTGAGGGCGAAGTCGTACTGCTGACTGTAGAGGGTTGTGACAACAGTAAGGTGTTTCCCTCGGACAACCAGCTTGACAGCGATGCTGCCTTCCCACAAGAAGGAGTGGGGTTAGAAAAGGTCGACCCTAAAAATGTCATACCTCACCTTACCTCACGGATTTCCGTCCTCGGCGGTAAGGCCCTTTGAAGAACGGAGCTAACACATTAAAAACCTTCCACGAAAAGGCCGTGCGCGAACGGCCTCAAGCAGTTGTCCCTTGGGCTCTGCGGTCACGCTCCCAGGTCGTTAAGACTAACACTTATCCAATTTCCTTTTCAGGTTCCTCAAGAAATACCCTTCCACTGTGTAGGCAGCCGGGAAGTGATATCAGCCCTCATACCCGTAACAGCACACGAGACCAAGTTGGTCACAATGAAATCCTTCATACACCTCCTAATACCTCTCTTATCTCCACGATTAACCTTCTCACGTCCCTTTATCGTCTCGCACCTCTAGGGCGAACGATTCGTGTGCGCGGAACGTTATTCTTGGTCTCCTGAAACCACGCTCTAAACTACATGTAGGAGCTTTTGACTTCCGAACACTGTGCCAAATAGGACAACAGGCTTCCTCAGCTAGGACTTTAGAATCTCGCGCCATCGATGTGTGCTGCGTCTCCGAAACGCACATACAGGATCCTAATAGTGTCATTCATCTGACCTCACTATGTCAAAGTAACGAACCAACTCAATTTACGCTTCGTGTATCTGGAAGCCCTAATGCTGCTTACCGTGGCTCCGCTGGCGTAGGTATAGCATTGAGTCTTAGGGCAGAACTAGCTCTCTTAAACTGGATCCCTGTAGACAGTCGTTTATGCGCTCTCCGACTAAACAGAACAGTTAGGACTCGGAAAGGTAGGGACACTAGTTGTTGCTTCTTCTTCGTCTCTGCCTATTCTCCCACTGACTGCAACTCAGATGATGTAAAAAATGAGTTTTACAGAAAAGCTAGGTGCTCTGATCTAGTAATAGTGGCTGGTGACTTTAATGCTCAAGTAGGTAAACTAAGCGAAAGGGAAAGACACCTGGGTCGATCTTATGGTGCCGTGGCTCAAAGAACCGTCTGTTACAGTTATGCTCAGATAACCACCTATTTCTTGCAAATACTAACTTTAGGCATAAACAAAAACATCTTTTGGCATGGCGACCCTCGAATTCGTCCAACGTTGAACCCAAATAGATCACATCGCTATCAGCCAACGATGAAGGGGCTCGATAGAAGACTGTCGCTTAATCTGGAGCACATGCTTAGATTCAGATCATGCTCTAATGCGAGCGTGTATTTGTCTACGTCCTACTGGATGTGGGAAAGACGCTGCAAGGAAACCTCTTAGGGGCCTACCTAATGATAGTCAAGCTCAAAGTATATTTGAAGAACAACTAGAAAAACAGTTAGGCAGCTATGTAATTGATGCCCACCCCGAGGCAGCATGGAATGATATCCGAAAATCCGTGGAAACAGCAGTGATATCTGCTAGTACGGTAAACCACAAGGTTAGGGAGAAACACTGGATCTCAGCAGCATCTACCGGGTAAAGTGATTCAGAATCGTTCTCAATGATATAAATGCGTTTATTTGTAGTGGCTGGTATTGCCATTAGTGACACTGTTACTGAATTATTCTGGGATTTATCTTGATAATTTTTTCACGGTTCTAATGACATGTGGCAACGTGAACCATCGCACATTTATGTCAGGTCAAACGTTGCATGGCTGACTAATATTTGATTATAATATAAGGATAACTGAAGTCATTGAAACCTATGCGGATAATCAATCGCAATCCAGGCCACAATGACCAACTGATATCAATATCGTAAAATAATCAAGAAGCTCACTTCTACATAAATTAAGACCTGATAATGGTGTTGTTGTAACGTGTGTGGACTTGCAGGTTTTGATAAGCAGCGTTTGTATCGATCGCTCCTGTGACAGTGGACACGTAAACACGTAACGGACGACCTAGAGCCCTGATTGGTCCCGCTTCGCAGTCTGTCCCAGCCAGTTGAGTCAAGAACACAAGTCACAGCCTCTGAGTTATGAATCGTTGTATTTCAGACATACTTTGTTAATATACCAATCAAGCACACCACAGCGTACCATAAAATAGGAAACAACATTTACAAAATATTTAACAAGTGATAATGAAAGCTCTACAGTTTAACTATCTGGCTCGAGGAACCCAATACTGCCAAAAACATCGACCCAAGTTGCAAGTTTTCTCCATTACACGACCATATATTGATTGATATTGAAATCATTATAGTATCATATCAAGTCTAAATGTAATATTTTGTTAGTTTGAATGATGTAAAGCGTAGTAGTTTATTTTATTTTGAATTACTAGCTGAAATCGTTTACCAAGTACAGATTATATATTTTTTTCAAGTCACTGTTATGTGTAAGGGTTAGTAGCGCTTCACGATTTCACAAACTAAAGTATGTGGAACAAATCTGTAAATGTCTCAAAGTTGAACGCTCTAATAATTCCACTACTTAAAATCATTTATATTCTATCCTAACCTGTAATCTAACATTAAGTTGATTAATAAGAGTACTATGCATCGTTTAGACTCTTAGTAACCTAAATAGCACAGCGTCAACCTTTATTATTATTGATGGCTTTATTCAATGTTATATTTTTGATACAATATAGAATTCTCAGCACAAAGTATTTCAACAAGTTTCCTTTTCTTATTTCTTGGTCGATACTGACGATAAATATTGAGTGATCGCCAGTTAAAAGTTAGTAGTTCGAAAACAGACATCTGAATAAGGTTCATTCTTTTGAATGTATATTGCCAGCCACTACGATGCTGCTGAATATATTTTTTTGTACCTTGCACGGTGAAAGATTGTAAACCTTTCGTAAACGCGCCTGAATAGGTTATGCAATTATTAAACATAATGATTTGTTAGAACAAATAAAAACAGATAATTTGTTGAGATATCTAGATGGCAGGGACAGGTAGCCCAAATATTCAGACAGGCCACCAACTACTCATATACCAAATTTTAATCAACAAATATTAAATAAGGTCATGACGATAAATCTACAATGGAACTGATGGAAAATGTAAACGCACTAAATAGCTTATTTAATAAATGCTAAGCTACGATTCCCAGTTTAACTCTGTAATATTCAGCATTGTGGCATTGTATGTCTATGTGAGAAGTCGTTTACATTTAATAAAATCGACATCCTATTTTCATGATGTATTGTGGCCTGGTATATCTGAATAAAAACCACATCTGCTTAAAACAAATTTGGTTAAGACTGTTTATCACTTTTTTAACTCAAGGCTTGCGTATGATGGTTCAATAGCAACTGTTGGCTTGAGGTAAGTAGTGCTGGTCGATCGTTTAGTTGGTCGATTCGGGAACGTTAGGCTATCATGGAAATAGTAGATGCGGTACAGACCTAATTAGAATTAGGATTCTTATTGGTGACTTGGCACGTGACACTGGTTAGCGTGTTTCAAGGCATAACAATATTCAAATTTAAAATCGTTACGTTGATTCTACAAATATTCAGCATTTATTAAGTTGATATGCTTATAGAGATCGTTTTTTCATTTTGTTAATTTATTGAATTATTTACCAGGTGGAACTTAGCGACTGGAAGTCAAACATCTTAATTACACTCAGTCACCTATGCTTAAAGATTATCTAGTTTTAGGATAGTTTAAAACATAAACTGATCTTTAGTTAGACAACTGCTGAAACACCTGTTTCACTGTATCCTAGCTTCCAGTGATTCTCTAGAATAAATCAATTTATGTCTTTGTGTTAGATAATTGGTTCATTGTTTGATTGCATAATCCTAGCCTGTCGCATGCTGTAGTTATTACTATTACTACTAAAAAAACAATAAGATAATTCAACACCTGTCTTGGTAATTTGTATCCATAACCAATAATAACTATTATTGTGTATATCCTTTATGTTTCTCCAAATCCGATCGGTTAAATCATAGCTAATTATATATTACAGTGGAGCGGCACTAAGTAATATAACTGACTGTGTAATCTGATTACCGGAACCAAATTACAGAACTGCATAGAAATATTTAAAAGATAATGATACAATCGAAAGGATCTGGTGAATATGAGCCTTATGATAGGACTGCTACCAAAACGCTTATTGTTGACTTCTTAACCGCTCCTCATAACTACAAACTACTAATACACTTTAACTCGAATATTAGAGAAAAGGTGCGAAATATGCGTAAGAGCTTTAACCAAAGCCAATCATTTACAGAAAATCGAGTGTATTTACAGTTTCATGTGACCTCAATCTTTTAGAACCTTCCGGAAATATGCTGAATGTAGTGACGACCTATGTAATTATCCAATCAAAACGTGACACATAATCTTTCATTTTTCAAAATGTCTCTGAAAACTTTCCATTTAGTGCTGAATGGATGAAACATTTCCTGGCGTTTTCTGGGCATCTCGAGACTTTGACAATAAGTGTTTATGGACTCTCAAACACGTTTGTCAAGCATTTAACGAACCCAAAACTGACTTTTTTTTTCAGTTTTAAGACTAAAACAATAGGGATATTTACAGCCATACATTCCACATTTTCTCCTGTAATTTGTATTATTTTAGACTATCTATCATATAATTTATTTGTTGTATGCATATCGCAGAGAGCACTTGATACCTGTTTCGTCCTAGTTTGGGACTTCCCAACAACAGTCAATTAATGTCACCATTATTTTATCATGACTGTTTTCTTGATCATTGAACTATTGTTTTCATTTCTATGTAGAAATAAAAACATCGCAATAACTTTATCTCTGTTTTAGACTCACCAGCTCTAAATTCCATGAATCATGGTACTAATCAAACTGTCTATTCGCCTTCATCATCTCTTGTTGGACAAAATCATACTGGCAATGGAATACAACAAAAGTATACATCTGTAAGTTTGCGAATAATAACATTTTAATAAAATGCAGTTTTTTTTTACATTCCTGATTATTTTTGTTTTCATGGATATAAATAGATAAATTTGTATAATGTAGTGGTGTGGTAAAAATACACACGAGTTTTTTTTCCTTCTATATGCACATTTCATCTAGTCAAATGAAAAATAGTTATTTTTATAACTGAACGATCATACTTTCAGTGATGATGATAATGATGATGTCTTATTACTGTGTTACAAAAATACATGTATTCAAGTGTATGTGTGAATGTCTGCATGTGTGCGCGTTTTTTTCCATTGTTTGTCTGACTGTTTACACTTAAATTTATTACTGGCTATTTTTATTTACTCCAGTGTCACTCTACCATCAACGAATAAGTCTTGCTAAGCTAAACAATGAATACTCTTTTATGAATGATCATAAATGATATAAAGTCAAACGTCATTTGTCGAAATCTTTTATTGTCTGCCTAAACTTTTTTACTATCCATATGATAGGATTACTGGACTGTAGTGTCGCTTTATGCTTAATAAGTTTGATAACATGAGATCAAACAGCTGAATAATCTTTTATTTTCAATCTACATGATTTGGAAACTCACATGATACTATTAGTCACTTAAGACGACAACGTACCACAAATAGGAAATCATTTGTACATAACCATGTAGTTTATGATACCGAACTGAGTAATAGGTGTATAATTATTCAACGGTAATCTATAAATTGTTAACTACGTCTATCAACAATTATTAATCTAAATGAATACTTAGAAACGTGGCAATCTAAAGATACCGTAATCTAAATATTTAATAAATACACACTAAAAATGTACACAGTAACTCTCCTTAGAATAGTTCTATAAGTTCCATCTTTTCCGATCACTTGCCTATATCTAGCAAAGAGGAACTGGGATGAGGGTAACTATGTTTAAAATGGTAACAGTCAAATAAATATGAGGATAACCATAATGTATAACTAATTTGGAGAATAATTTGCTATTATTGAGTTTAATATGATAAAGAATGGATTTATCTACAGAACTGTTTTCGATTTCAAACTGAATCATCCAATTTTTCAAACATTACTCAATACACATTATTGTCTTATAGTTCAAACTAAACGTTAGTGGCTCCGAGGACTACTAATATGTCTTCATTAAGATAGTCTTCACGTTTTGTTGTCTTTATGCGATAAAGAGTTCCATTTTCATATTTCCATTCCAGCTATATGATTTTTATTTATTTATTGTCGTTTTTCTGGACTAAAGTTACCATACAAACAGTCTCTGTGCGAATTATTCATAATTAAATTGTTGTTGTTTTTGTTGCAAAGAAATAATCTGATCAAATGAACTAGTTCATCTGACTTATTGAAGATGGCTTTTACAAAAGTTCAGAAGAAACTTATGTCATGCCCAGTTATCAACTTGAAAGTACATGATAAACAATTACAGCGTTTATGATAATTTATTATTGAAATAACTACAAATACACAATTTGCTAATAAAATAATAGTTATAGCACTAACAAATATTATCATTGTCATTTTAAACTATTATGAAGCTTTCAATAACATATTATACATATTCATCACGTTCATCCTGGGTTTTTTTTACATTCAATTCGGTCTTGTTCAGTCACGGAGAAATAATTGATACTAAATGAAAGATTCCTGATTCTATTAAACAATCGTTAATGATATTAGTATACCATCTGTATTAACAACTAATTCGTGTCGTGTTTTATTTCGTTTTATGCTAATCTACTATCAAAAATCTTCACTGACTATCATTATTTGTAACGCTTACTTACTAGTGCTATTTAGTAGTATAAAATGTGTTTATCATAAAGTAATATTCAGTTGAATTTAATGTCATTAATATTAAAGATGCAGAAATAAGTTAACTCTAATAAATGTTATGTAGTTTAAGTCACAAATTGATTTTATTAGGATTGTCACTAAAATCATGAAACCATTGGGCGGACCTAGCATGAAACTTCGGAGCAATATAAATCCATGACTCCTCATTCAGAAATCAAACTCAAGACCTTCGGTATCATGCGCGAACGCTTAATCTCTAAACCATTGAGTCGGTATTAAATGGTCTTAATATCTTACATTAATCAACTCACGATATTGCTTAACCCTGGGTTTGGTTCTCGTACCGGTGGTCGTCGAAGTGAACTGTTGAGGAGTCACATTCACTGGACAAAACGGCCTTCTAATGCTTTTTCAAATGATAGTTCAACTAAAGTGGGTTTTTTTTTAAATACTATAAAAATTCCATAATCTCTACAAATCCCCTTTTTATCATGTTAGATTTAGAAAGTTTTATGCTAAATATCATAATACCGCGAAATATTGAAGTAGGTATAAATTTAAAAAGTTGATGTAAATCTTTGTTAAGCGAACACAATTTATCTAATTATTCTACTGATTTGTTGTGCTTATACTGATTTCAGTGTAGTTATGGCCTATTTTTATATTGTCATAGTGTAAACAATCAAAAGTGACATTCATTCTGTTTGAACCTTGAACATTTCTATTATATATATATATATATATATATATATATATATATATATCACTTTCATGATCCATAGACTACGTGAATCTAATATTTATCTAAAGAGACAATAGCTTTTTTATACATGTTCATCTCGCCTTTTTAAATCTTCAAATGAACAATTATATTTCATACCTAACTGTCTCTCTTTCTTCTATGTATGCTTATTGCGTTTTATCGCCCTATTATTATTGTTATTACCCCTCAATCATTATATAACTTATGTTCGACACTGGGAAGATTTGCGATTAATTCTTAGTGATCTTGTTAATGACCCAATAACTTTCGACTTATTACATTGAAATCATAAGCCTATCAATGTTAGACCACGATTTAAAACCTGAAAGCACTCGACGACCATCTCATTCTAGTGTTGGACTCTTCAAGAGTGCCCATCCCTAACACTCCACGCGAAATTCGAATCCAGGTCTTTCGATCTTCCGGGCAAACTCTTGATCTTCATACCACTGAGTCGTTATGAAACAGTGTTAATGTCTAACTTCAACCAATCCACGATAATGTGCAACTATCTTTTTATTTGACTATACACTACCATATGTTTATTATAGTCTATAAATACGATTTCTACTGCTTTAGGAAATAGCATCGTAATAAATTATGCTTTGCTTAAATAGTAACATATAAAACACGTGTAATCAAAATGTTAAATGGAAAATATTTCCTTATTATTTATTAGTGTACGAAAGGTTTTAAAAACAGTACTGTTTTCTTAAAGAGGAAGAATATATATTTGTAAAATCTTGCCTGGCAAACGTTGGATTTACATAAAATTCATTCGCTGAGATTTTACAAATATATATTCTTCCTCTTTAATGACTTACATTAACTCGGCGCCCAAATATTGTGAAACTATTTGTTCAAATTTAGACGTAAGTTCTTATGTAGTACTGTTTTCTCGTGTTAAAGATGGTTGATCATAAACAGACTTGCTCATTAAATTTTTTTTCCAGCCATTTTACTTCATCTAGTGTTTATGTTTCGAGGACCTATTACTCACTTATTAGTTTACTATATCATTAGTTAGTTATTGTATTACGTAACCCTTTTTGCTGTTTTTATTTACTGACCAAATTACGTGATGTATTATTAGAAGGAAATTAATATCGATTAAAATTTCACGCTTTGTTTCAATTAACAAATCAGCTTAATAAAATAATTCAAAGCATACAGATAAATGGACCAGTTTATTTATTTTTTTAATTACTTCTGTGTATGTATGTTTGAAAATTTTACCCTTTAATCAGTTGCATGTAGGTCACATGGTAATAGTGTTCAGTAATTCAATCTGTGTTAAAGCAATAAAAATATTTTTCAGAAACAAATAATCCTGATAAATGGAAAATCAGTTTTCATAGTAACAATAATAATAATTACTGTTAATTTTACATTTAGAAATAATTAAGGTTGTGTTTTTTTTTAAATTTTTGTGGATGTTTCCTTTTCGTTAATTAATATAAATAGATGGATTATGAACTTTTGTTTTTAAAAAAAAGAAGGAAAAACCAGTTACTAAACTATAAGAAATCAACATGTAACTATCTTTAAAAAGTTTTGAGTCGTTGTTATTATTAAACGCGCGTCAAGTTATCGATGCACACTGAGCATAACATCAATGACTTCTTACTTATTTAAACGTAGATTAAAAATCAGTCACTCTTCATTAATTTTCATGTTACTGTCGTTTTTAAGGCACTTGATTAACAGAAAAAGTTATTATATTCCAAATATGTTTAGATTTTAAAAAAATATTCTCTTCAGTAACAATCGTTAGTTTTAAAGTGTTGAAATGTCTTATAATTACAATGAACATCTGTTCAATTTATCGGTGATTGTTCATGCTATATTGTTGTATACTATATGGTGTATCATTTATTTTTCGGTTAGATAATTGATTGTCAATGAATGAATTTTATTTCTTATCCTGGTATAGACGAGGATGCGAGAGTCAGCTCTCCCACTCGAAGCGCTCTCACATGGTCATCTAAAGACATTATAATCTTGTAATGCTATTTTGCCGACATCCAAGTAAGAGTTCACGAAAGCGATTTTGTGAGATATGTTAAATTGTTTATGAAACAATAAACAAATTATATCATATCCACTCCAATGGATAAATTTTTGTATGGAAATTTCTTTTGTTGTATAACGTGAAATTTTCTAGTCACAAATCGTGGAAAATCCTGAAACCATAAGAAAAAAGTACTGTATCATTAACGTTTCCATAACTTTTTTTTAGCAAAAGATCCTAGATTTGACCCAAAACTCCTTGTCACGTAATAATCTCAAGGTCATTTCAACGTCCTTTATAGTGGAGCTTTACCGAATATTAAATATGGTATGGAGATTATAGTAATCTCAATACTTGAAATTATAAGTCAGTTAAAGCTAGACCACCATATAAAACCTGGAAGCACTGGAAGGCCGTTTCATCCTATTTTCGGACTCCTTAATTCTTGTGTTTTTTGCTCTCATATAGACTAATTAGCTGCATAGTTTATTTCATTTGAAAATGATGTTTTTGTAATTTCTATGAAGTGCCTATTTGCTTACTTGTAAATTAGATGGTTTACTAGAAAAAAATTACACACGTGATACTCCATGGAAGAGGAAGATGTTAGCTTTTAGTTTGTGAAGTGCAAATAATTTTTTTACACGTGACGTGACCCCTTTGTTGTTTATTACCAGTTACCTACCTTTCATTTATCACTTGGTTATGATTTAGTGAATAGTTGTTTACCACTATTGGGAAAAGGTTCGTGTTTTTCTAATTGTTACTATTCTTTTCACAAGGTAATAATATTTACTGATATCAATATTACGTATAGATATCAATATGTTTAATAAATCTATGCTTGAAACACAGTCTTTTTTTTTTATTAATCACTATAATATGAACAGCGAAATGGTTTCATCCATTTTAACAAACAATTTCTCAGTCAATTAACAGATAACTAAAATTTAACTCACTCACCATGTATGAACCATACTACGCGTCTTAGGGCTAATGATAGTACTCTGTTGTCTTAACCGAAGTCGGTTAAATAACGTTCAAACCTGAGGTTTTGTGGTTGAGAGTTGAACTCCTTAACTACTAAGCCGCTTCACCCCTGTCATTTGTAACACACCATTATGATCACTACTATACTTGAAAGTTTTCAATACAAAAAATAGGAATTCTGTGGCAACAATGTCTTCACTTACTTTTTCAATGATTTTGAAGAAAATAAGTAATTTATGCTCACTTACTTTTTGATGCTAATTGAATTCTATGGAGCAAATTCAAGTATGCTCAGTAGTTTTAGTGACTTGATATCTCATGGATTATGTTTTGACCATAGATGTTTGTAATAGATCCCAAGGAAGCCCTTATATCGAATTCCTATCGTTGTGGACACTTGCTAGGTAGGTGTATCTGCAGTCTTTGAGGAACCGATGCTCCCTATGCGATATAACCCACCATCCTATACCACAGTCAGGGATTGTATGAGTTTGAATCTGATACGAAACACCAGTAGTCATCTAAGGACTATAGATACTCCTTTCTGATATGCACTTCCTAGCACATAACACATATTACAAGCTTAGTAATACTTTCCTCAAACCTCCATAAATATTACGTTTGTTTCAAACATACCAATGTTTACGATGTACAGAATATACCTACTTCTTTTTTATACTTACCAACAAAGTAATAAAACTGTAGTTTCATGTCTTTACTTTTGATTACCTAAGAACACCGTTTTTTTTTCTTTAAAAAAAGCACATCAATTTGATTCTGTAATGTGAGATTTTCTAAAAAATATTCTACAATAAATATTTCAATAAAATTGAAGTACTTTATTTTGTTCCCAAATTCATTTTTAACTACAAATTTGAAAAATACCAATGCAATACATGTAAACATAATTGATTATTCTATTGTTTTTATATTTTGTTGTTAATGATGTTTACACCTTGCAGAGAATAGGTTTTATTTCAGCTAGTTTTAATAAGTTTCAAATTAATTTTATTTAGTTTTCTGTCTAATTAGTTACTCATATTACAATATTGTATAGTAAGTTCTAAAAATCAGTTTATCATCACGTAACTGAACTCAAATCAGTTCTTTGTCTTTTGGAACGGTAATATGTGAATGGATCAAACATGACTCGTTATACCTAGAGCAACCAATACATAACAATAACAATAGACTAGGGACAACCGCATGTTAGTAATAATAGAGAAAACGGGAATTTATAAGAGAAAATTTTGTTTCAAGAAAAACTCGTAAAGTGAGTAATTATCTGTATGCAGGTATTGTAATTATTCTTACGATTTCGAGAAAAAAAGTAGTCAATAAAATCAAGGTCAATTACACGTGTCGCTTGATAATTATCTCAATTGACGAAAGGATAGAAAAATGATCAAGATAAATAATAACAAATAAATCGTAAATTTAATTTCGTTTTTGATATAATCCCCCAACGAATATCAATGGCAATGAATAGTGGTTATGCAATTGGTTGATTAAAGTTAAAGATGTAAACTATTGAATATTCACTCATTAATGGTTAGAATGTTGAGCGATCGCTCTGAGGTCTGAAGTTTCTAAGTTTGATCATCCTGGTCTAATTCTTTCTAATTTTCCATGATATTCGACTACAAAACTACATTTTAATCAGCAGATCCGATTAACTTACCTCGTAGGAGACAAATATGTACGAAATATCTGATTGTAAGTTTCTGTGTACTCTTTTATTCATCCACTCTTTCATTATTATGCTTGTGTATAATTTTCATTATGCTTTTTAGAGTACTAGTCCGCCAATAAAATACCAAAATTCTGTTCGCTTCGAACCTGGATCCTCTAGTTATGTTGGCAGTAATGGAAGTAATAATAGTGAGCAGTTTTAATAAACTTTTTTGTAGTTTTTCTTTTTTTCCTTATTGTTTCTTTTATTCATCATGTACGTCATCGCCAAATGAAGTGTTACTTTTTTCCGGAACCTGGACATTCCTATATTCCGAATTGATTTAATTCGAACATGTAAACCATTAGATGCCGCTTCAATGTTCTAAAGGTTAAGGCCTCATCGAAGGTCTGACGATCCTGTGCTCGATCTTTGGTAAACTGGGTGTGCACTATCGAAAAATCCCATAGTAGGACGAAATAACTTTCCAGAACTTTTAGTTTTCAATGGCTGTCTAACTAAGATCAGTCAGCGATGTAAACCATCGCATTCAACCATTTCCATAATGCCGTTTGAAGATCTCGTCAATACTTTTCCAATATCCACCCAGATAATTATTGCATCTTCTTATAACTATTTGTTATTATTTTAAGTTTGGCCTCATCCAATTCCTAAATACATCTTAAATGTTAATCAATTGTAGGCATATCTTGTCAGTATCTAAATGAATATTCTTTCCAGCCAACAACTGGTTTCTGTATATACTTCTGATGATGCCTTATTAGTAGTTAAGTTATGCCTACTTCAAACAAACTCAATTTGGATAGCCATGTTGAGTATCTCATTAGTCAACACAAACAATGTGATCCAGATTTGATTGGATAAACCTGTACTTGACAAATGGGTTATATTATCATTATTGTTATTACTCCAATTACTGCATTCAATTTTATGCTTACCAACTCAGTTTAGGCATAACTACGTATTCAAACGATTATAGTTGCAATAGTAATCCATTGTGTACTACATTTTAAGTGTATTGTATTAGTACACCTATATTGTACACGTTCAGTCCAATGAATACTAATAAATACGAATTTATCAGTGTAAGGGACAATTACCTTCAATCATCTTTTTAAACGGAGAAATTCTCCTATTGTTTTTATATTGTTGTAATCCATACATTGTTTAATACAATAATAAAACTGCAAGCTTACTAGTTATTATGTCCTGTGGTCTGTCTACCCACTTTTGGTGCTGAGGATACTTATCTAATCCAGATTAAGACCTTGGTGCGATAGGTTGACCGACCTAACCTTGAGGCTAGTGCGCGTGAGTTCGAAATGGGGTAGAGAGAAGAAAACTATTCTATCACCTGATTGACCGACAAGCACGCGAATGAGAGAAGACAAGGCAACTGGAACACTACTCAATCTATTCCCGATATCCTGATTTTCCTGATTTCAGTTCAGTTCGGATTAGTGTAAAAAGGTACATGAATAAATAAATGAATAACCCGACCACAACGTACGACAATTAGGAAAAATCTAATTATGTCCAAAGCTGGGAATTAGAGTAGAAAATAGGGTGCAAAATATTATGTTTAAATTACAATAGCTTCGGAACAAAAATAAATGTCAGTGTTTTACAAGCTTTGAGTAAAATGGAATAACGTCCCGAAGAATAGCTTCTTCTCTCTACCCCATTTCGAACTCACGCGTACTAGTCTCAAGGTTAGGTCGGTCAGCCTATCGCACCAAGGTCTTAATCTGGATTAGATAAGTATCCTCAGCACCAAAAGTGGGTAGACAGTCCAAGGACATAACAAGTATATATATTTCATGTTGTATATATGTAATGAAAGTTACTCTGTAATTTTAACTGAAGACAAATTAACACAAGATTTGCTTTGTTTTCAGTATTGTTAATTCGTTGTATAATTTTCGACATCACTTTTTTTCCATTTTGTTATATTGTTCAAAGTGCAGTCTTCGCACTTACTGTCCTTTATCTGATCACTGTAACACAAGAATCAGTGTTTGTGCATTGATGATGTGTTATGTTTTTTTTGCTTTCCAATTTTATATTGGTTCCTTTCATGTTTCGTTATACATATATATTTACGGACGAATGAATGAATTTATTCTATTTCTTAATATTTTCATTTGTTAGGTAAATATTGTGTATTACAATTGAAAAACCTCAGTTTACATATGCATGTCTTACTATTATATATGATAGCTATGTAGTGAATTACTGAACTATCCAAGCCACAGTCCATGGCTGCGTGGATTAGGGATAATCAAAGGGATATTTTCTTCAATTAGGTATAAAGCGATGAGTTCTTTCCCAGTACATATGTGATCACAACATCAAACTGTTGAAAGTAAATGACAAGTGATTTTCGTTCTTCAGCAATGCTTATTGCAATATCTCTATAATGGATATTGTAAAACTGCTTAGTAGATTATCATAAGGTTCATTAAATTAATAGTAATATGAAAAGTTTAATGTATGAAATCGATCATTAGTTAATCCATAATAAGTCACATCACTGTTTTTTGACAATGTAACATTTTCTACAGCATGTAAGATGCCGTATATTAGTACTGATATATATTGTTGGGAACTGTTAATTTTCTGGCTGAATACATTAATTTACATTATACATCTTTCATTTTCTTGTAATGCTTCTATTTATCGTATTGATTTCATCTCACTGTACTGTCCTGCATAGTAGCCATTTTAGCAATATATACTATTTGTTTGAATTCTCTTTGAAGAATTAGTGATTTAGTGGTTAAAGTTATCTATTTCCAACTATTTGTTTCTTCATCTATTTTAGTTCAGATTACTAAATAGTAGGATTATTGTCCTTCACATAGAAACTATAGTTTCTATCTATATTTGATAAATGAAACAAAATCCATACGTTTTGTATGGCTCTAATTAGCTGTTATTTTATTTATTTATTGATCGATATATTGCCTTCATTTCTCATAATAATATTTTGCTGAGACGAAGATTAATGTTCTTCCATTTAGAAATTTGTTAAAATGTTGTAATCAAAATAAAGTCCATTGTAAAGTAGGAGCACCGAATTATGAGCACGTAATAAATTAAAATTAATCAATATTTTAATAGTTGAATTCATGAGTCAATGTAAGCTATAGCACCATTGAAAATCTGAAAACGACCGTCCTCTGCTCCAGGTTTTCAATGATGGTCTAGCTTAAATCAACTCATGAATTTAACTATTAAATTACTACAATCTCCACAAACTCCCATTTTGATAAAATTCTATGTGAAGAATAATTATTGAGTTACACTAATCAACATCATTCAAACCATAATTGTAATAATACAATTTAAATTAACCTCACAAAGTGATTCAAAACTCCAAATTTCAAATGAGGTTTTGTAATAATTAGGGGGTTATAGATAATTGTCCACTTGACAAGTATGAAGAAAAATAACAAATATAAAGGTTATAATAACAATCGAATTATATCGGTCAATAATTGTTAACGGGATAATAATAACTGGTTAAGATTTAAAATCACAAAATAATAAGAAAAACAAAGCAAAACCAAAAAACACTGCAGAAGGGAATTAGTCCTAGGGAAGGATAATAAGTGGGTGTATCGTTTTTGCACGCAGAGTTCAGGTTTGAATTGATGAATCGCTAACCCCTCATCAGTGCATAAGATTTTGATTCGATCTCCGTTAACCCATTCCCTTTGATTATTTATTTATTTATTTTAACACATAGATATTGGTACAAGAAGGCACCAGATACATATGCGCCACACAAATCTCATTTGATATGTGTGAGGGCTGTGATACTGCCTGGGTGCCCAAACCGAAGCAGATGGTTTTCTTAAGGGGCCACACCCGGAGCCTTCGACATGAAGTTCTGATCCACAAGGCAGTAGAGCAACGTCAGGAGATGCATTCCCATGGTAGCCGGTGACCAACGATTGGTTCATACGCCATTTGTTCCTTCAGGATACTGGAGCCCATGTGTACCATCGGTTTGGAATGAGGGTTTTCCGACTCCCCTAAATGGACTCTCCATGTTCACCAACCCGGATAAAGCGCTGGACATTCGCTTTTCGTCCTTTCACTTTCGTAAACAACAGTAATGCCACAAGAAGGCAGTAAGTAGGACTTCCCTGGCAGAGGCTATATACGCGTGGCCATGTGAGAGCATTTCGAGAGGGCGAGCGGACTCTCCCCACTCTCGACCGTACCAGGGCATTTGGGGGTATTCCCTTGATACTGAAATCTTGTCTGTCTTTCTATGGACTTATATATTTACCAAACAGCTATAAATTTGAATATAAGTAAATGATTTCACAAATATTATAGCTTTATTCTTGTCTGTATTTCCCTTTTGTCGTGACATTCTAACGAGAATATTGTGAAAGTATAACAAATACATGGAATTTCCCATACCAAAACCTGTTTACTGTTTCATTTATGCCTCCTATATGGTATTTATGTATATTCTATTAGTTTGTATACTAATCACAACTAAATCCTTGTTATTATAAATAATACAATCATCAATCGTGTTTCATTAAATCATTTCGCTTTAACTTTTTGTATTCTCCATAAATTCCATTATTTCACGTGATTACCAGTTTTGTCCAAAATGGTTACCTTAAATTAATCAAGAAATCACGTTTTTCCAAAAAGTTTAAATGGAAATTTATTATTATTATTATTTCGAAAATTTTATCAACTTGATCATATCTGTAAAATAGCATCCATTCTGTCCTTTTTTCGTGAATATACATTGTTTTCAAATGTAACATGTAAAATATATTCACAGTATGTTGAGTGCTTAAAATATTAAGACTATAGTCATCTTTATAAGCAATTAATTTTGGTTTCTCTAGCAAACATGTGCTATGTATCACCTCCTGGTTCATCAAACTCCAGTAGTCTACCTTATTATAACAAACAACAGTATGATCAAGTCACATCTACAACTGGAGGTCTTGGTCGAAGTAATCAACCAGCATCATCATCGACTAATCAGTTTTACAAATTTGATCAAAGTACAGCTAATTGGAGTTCTGGGCCGATACAACGAGTTCCTCCAAAAGAATTTGCCCCAAGTCCTTTGTCAATGGATACATTGGAAGACAAACCAAAACCACAAGAAATTCCGACAACTACTGAAATGTCATCTACTCCTTATCAATCATTTGACGTAAGTTGATGGTGCTTGACACTTTTATTACAAACTGAATATATGGTGTGATTAAATATCTAAGTCTAAAATTTATTTATTTCTTCTAGTGACCTATTTAAATTAGCAATCATGTCCAGATACTTATATATTGGACTTGTGCGACACCTATTCTGCATGGAATAAATGTCGCAACTGTTTTGTTTCACACCCATAGTGCTGTAGGATCTGGACACACTATCATGTTAGATGTTTCAACAAATGACTTCTGAAGACAATATGTTAGTATTGTTTGAATAACTTGTTAATACCCCCTACTTTTTCATTCGGTAATCTATTAAAGTTTTACTTTGTAAAATAGCTCAACCTGCTATATAGTTCAAAGCTTTATAAAAATGAAATAATCATTGAAATCCTCTAATATTGAGTTCCTGTACACCATCGGAAAATCTCATTAAGGTTTTATTATTAATTTGTTAAACATATTTACATCTAGTAACCAAGATTTCATACATATGCTATAATGAGGTAACTTACGGTTATTCTGAACTACGAATAATTGTGATACTTTTCTGATAGGAAATAGAATATACTCAAACCAGCTAGATTGAATAACTAATATACCAAAATGCAGTCGAAACACGAACAAGTGAGAGAGAAGACAGGATTTCGAGAAAAGCTTTAATATTCCCAATAAAAGTTAAATTTGTGATACGATTCCCTTCATGTAGCAACAACTATGACTTTGGGACTGCAAGCCAAAGGCAAAAACATCCAACCAGATTGATAGCAAAGACTACTACAGTAGTATTGTGTTAGACGCTCCTCACAAGATTGCTGATAAGTAGTATACAGCGGAGCGTCGCATCGCAGTTGCTGTAGTCGATAACCAAAGACGGGAGTCGGGAAGCCGAAAGCACGATGAGTTCGGAACATTTGTGAGACCAGAAGAGAAGCTAGGGAAAGCAGTCTACAACGGCTTAGATCGGGGAACACACAATAGATGCGAATGGAAGACTGAAGACTAAATGTGTATATTTCATAAACGATTTTTGTTCCCTCTAAATAGTTATGTATATATTCAATCTGGACTTGGCCTGTTCGTACATTACGATACAACTTGGAGTAAAGTGACCAAGGCTTCCAAACGAACACTATTGTTTATTGATAGAATTTTCCTAAAATGATGTATATAGTTTGAGATTAGCTTAGCAATATAATAATGGCTATATAGGTTCCTTAAATTTAATATCAATTATGATAATCGTTCTGACAATTTATATTTGTGTTCTATTGAAAAATCAGTTAAGGGGTGTACATTTAAAGATTAGCACTATTATACAAAATATTTCAATCTTAGTTACGATCAATTAATCACTGGTTAGTGACTAATATCATGTGTGTCGGGTCCTACTTAGTGTAGATTGAGTTCTGTCTATCAATTTGCAATGCAGCCACTAGCCTAGGTGATTCGACATTGTATGCACTATGTTCAGGCATAACGTGACGGTTGGATGTAATCAGCAGGAAACCCTTTGACGTACGTTTTGTGCTATTTGACATTCGTCAGCAAGATATACCTGTAATCTTGGGTAGACTGATGCCCCCTGACGGATCCAATCCCGTATCACCCAGTTTCACAATCAAATAGCACGAAATCTAGGTTCAGGTTTCCTCTCGATTATCTCCAACCACCGTCTTACATCTCAACACAGTGCACGCGATGTTGAACCATCTAGACTAGTGGCTACATTGCAACTAGATCGATAGAACTTGATCTACACTAAGAAGGACCTGGCATACATGTAACTAGCCACTACCAAGTGACCAATCAATGGCATATACATCTCAGCCTTACTGGAGCTAAATCGCGACCTGGATAGCTCAGTGGTAACATCTTTGGTTGTGAAGATGGGTGAAACGGGTTTGAATCTGCCAGGGAGCATCAGTTCCCTCATGATTATAGCCACGCGTCAAATAGCACGAAACTCACGTCCAGGGTTTCATTTCGATTACCTCAGACCACCACCTTTAGTTTTAATTTCCTACCATTCATTGTTACTACATGATACTGACTGTTTAAAAATCTTTGTATTTAAAGCTTCTAATTTGACTGAATGCACCCATATCATTGCATCCAATCTCGACTTCTGGCAATATCAGTCATAAATTACAAACAATTCGCGAGTTGGAATTAGACTTCCCGATATAACCCACACTAGTAGTTCAGAATCTTAGTCCGATCACTCTTTGCCTTTTCTCAACTTGTCTGACTGGTGCTGTAAATCGTAGTAGAAGTTAGTTATATGACTGCGTATAAAATGGTTTAGCTATCTTACTGGATGAAAGTGTTTCACCTCGGCAATCGAGTTATCATTCTTACCTAGTACTCGTCTTCCATCATCACCATTACATACTTGATATCTCCAATATGTGTGAATGTTATCTTAAACACATTTCCGGTTAAATACCTGTCACGCAAAACTTTCTTCTACAATGACAATTTATCACCTATTTAATTGGTAAGTAAGTATATCACCTTCAACACAGATGGCGTACACTGACCCATGCCGAAATTTCGCCATATATTTACCGAAGTAACTAAGGTAAGTAAAAATTGTTTAACACACCTAACTTCTTCACTGCCTCTTGTAAAATTAATATTGACTTAAATCAGTTCTGAGGCAAATTTCGCGTTTGATGGAGTTGAGGAACTCATAAGAAAACACTTCTATTGCCATTCAAGGTATTCTAAAGACTACAGTTTCCCAAGATCTTTAATAAAAACCAAACTATATGTTTTCTATACTCTAATATTGATGAGAAATTTTCATGATAAAAGACTAATCTTTGGAAGATTAAACGAAGAAAACGTTTATCCACACCAAAATAAAAATGTTTACAGACTTTAAATTTATCATATGTTATTGTTAAGCGCTTGTGTTTCTTACACTTTTATCATTCAATATCTAACAGATCTTTCGAAGAATTGATGAACATGCTGTCTCTGTATCACAACAACAGCAAGATAATTTTAATCAGTTAATTTGGCAATTAATCTATGCACGTAATATTACTGATGAATTGGAAAAAGTCCGTGTTATCTTCTTATGGTTGTGCACTAAAGATCTACATAAAATGAATTTTGACCATGTGAAACCAGATAGTCCAGAAGAAATCTTGATGGGTATACGTACTGGTAAATCGACATATGCACAAATATTTTATACATTATGTCGGTAAGTCATCTTTTTTATGTTTAAATATGTTAATCATCTGAAAGCTCTTAAACACGCGTATATTTTATGTACGCGTCTTGGCATTGATTGATACTATGTGGAGTTTTAGTCTACATCTGATTTCAGAGATTTGTTGTTGCATTGAACAGTACTAGTACATCCACCAATGTAGTCATACTGCTGACGATAATGAAGATGATGATTGTTTGAAATGCATGAAGAATGGGTTTAAGACTTATAACAGGGATGAATATCGGAAAATCTGAACTTTCGAAGCCATCCGACTTGAGGTCGTTATGTTTGTTCTTTAATTATTCAATACTTAGATTGTATTCTCCTGCTTGCATACAGTGTTGTTGTGCGTTGTATCTTTCGTAAACTATCGTTAATTTATTACTGACTTATTACTTAGTTCTCTCCCACTTATGGCGTACTTATACCGTTATTGTGACTTCTTAATTATATTAATATATATGGTTAAGATTTAACTCTATATTACTGTATGAGCTTCGAATCATTACACAATACCTACCTATAGTATTTCAAATCTGAAATAATCTGCACAAAAGTATACTTTCCTTTCAAATAGCATTATTATTATTGCAAACACCATTAGGTGATATTGACTTCGCCTTTAGCTAGATAGTTTAATTGTGGAGCTTTCATCGTCATTATGGACAATATCTTCATCATGTAATACATGTGGAAGTGAGATTTCTAATTATTCCTGAAAGTTTTATATCACTTCACTCCGATTACCTTGTCTGTGATTGATTGTCTTCGTAGGGTTTGTTGTCTCCGTTTCCCTTTGTATTTATCACGTATGTCTTTGTTGGTTGACCTCTGACCTTTTAATTGGTTGATCTCTCCTATATGGATTAATGAATTAAGTCTTTATCAATGTATTTGTTTATTCTGGTACGCTGAACCAATTTGTTTTGTTATGCAAAATCTCACAGTGCTTTTGTAAAATATCAAAATCGTACGTTAAATACGTCATTTGCACATTTTCCTTGAGTTGTCCTTTACATACCCCATTATTCTTTTAATTCGTCGTTATTCTTATTGCTTTCTGTTTCCATTCTCTTCTCTTCATTTAAATCTTTGCTGGTAAGCGTTCCATTTCCGATTCCCGTTACATGCTAATATCTGTCCATATAAGTAGCGCCCACCACACCACACGAACTCCTCTGGAAGACTTGGAATTTCCACGAGATAAAATTTCAACGTTACTCCAACTAAGCTACGAATATCCTCACTATATATATATATATATATATATATATATATATATATATATATATATATATATATAGTGTGTATATTATTGCATACCTAATAATGACTACGAAGCTGGAATTTTTAGTGTTACAATGTTATGAACTAACTGAATTATATCTATTTTCTGTACATTTTCAACCAATTTCTTTTGCTTCATCTCTAATCAATATCTTTCTACATTTGTTAATCTTTTTACGTTTTCTATATTCTTCAATTTAAACTAAATTACAACTAACTATTGTTTTGGTGTATATGTATACACATGAAATTTCTTACTTATCCTGGCATAATTTCAAACCTGTTTTGTTTTCGTATCAATTCGCTAAAATATTATAATTGTTACCGTTGCTGTGAATATTTATGGTGATGACTATGATCAGGTTTTGAATAATTTATTTTACCCCTGAAATTTTCTTGCATAGTTCTTTCGTTTTTGTAACTAACATTTTGGGGGAAGGAAACTTGTCATCAACAGATATTTTTTACATACAATTAATTGACCACTTAGTCGTAACCAATGCTATATTCGTCTAGTCCTTTAAGACCGACTGAATTCTGTCGATCAGCAAGTTGCTATGTGATCACAAGTCTAAGCGACTCGACGTCGTGTACACTATTCAGGGATGTAAGGTGATCGTTGATGTTTGCTGACAGTAAACCCTTCTCAACCTAATTTCGTGTTGTTCGACACTCGTCAACAAGGCGTGCCTATTCTCTGGGCGATAGCTCTAAATTATGGAATCCGACTTATCTTATATGAGAATCATCAGTTGCATATTTTCAACGACGATTAAAAAGAGTATCTTCATCTAAACGTTCACAAGTAGACATCAGCTGGTGAACCACTGAGCAAATATATTTTATTTAAACTACTTTCGACAACACAAGATGCTTATTTGTTAATCAAAACTGATTGGAACTCAGTTCTGAATATCAACAACCGGACAACTCATACATTTACTGATTACTTTACAGACATAATATCCGTCAAATATGTTAATGGCTATCTTAACTCAGTAGTTTACTAGTAAATACGTTAGGCGTTTGAAGTAAACGTTACTCGACTCAATTGAACATCATCACCTGGAGATAGATGCCTCCAGCTGTCGAGTCCTAACTAGACGTTAACGTACGTTTCGAATTATACTTCTTGTCACAACCCATCTATTGTAAATAACTTTTATGTAAGTTCTGAAACTCCGCAACAATCCATACGCACATTTAGTCGAACTCCAAAAGTTTTTCAGATTCTAATGCTTTTTTAATGTTCGTTTTTTCTCTCCTTAAACAGTTATGCTGGTTTACATTGTAAACTGTTAATTGGTTATGCCAAAGGTGCTGAATATGCCCCTGGTATGCATTTTTCTGGTCGCCAAGGTCAACATTCATGGAATGCTGTGCTTATTGATAAGTGTTGGCGTTTGATTGATTGTCACTGGGCTGCACGTCGTTTAATTGGTAAACGTCCTAGTCCAGACAACGTACGCTATGGATTGGATATGTTTTATTTCTTAGCTAGTCCAAGTCAGTTGATTTATACTCATTTCCCACATGACCCCGACTGGCAGTTATTACGTCATCCAGTCTCACTAAAAGTAGGTTGTTGGTCTTTTGATGACTGATGTTCAGTATTTTTCTAAGTGTACTAAAATATGACAAAATCTTTACATTTTCTATTTCATGTATGCTATTTATCGAACGGGTTTCGGTATATTGCTCAAAACAGAGATGCCTTACCATTTCTGACAAAAATGTGATCAATTTAATCGTATACTGTTGCATATTTTGCATCACGTCCTTACATAGAGATGAAGAATGAGATTCGAAGTAGTTTTCAAGTAGATTATGTGACTTCTCTATCATATTTGATCGTTGATTTCGGTTGATGGTCTTATTAACTGTCAAATTAGATGGGTTTTTTTCTCGGAAATTCTTGCATCTCCAAATTCAGGAAATCCCTAATTATATTTGTTCTTTCATACCTACATTCATTCCATCATTCAATTCTATAGTTTCATCATTAAACCGAAAGTTATTTTGACTCACTATTGTATCACCGGTGGTATACCACAGATTTACATTTTTATTCTACTATTATCTATAACTAAGTCACTGTCAGTGAAATGATACGTTATATTATCACTAATATCAATACACGTATATAACAAAGGATATGAATTCTAGTGTTTAAGTGTCGAAAAAAAATTTAAGAATGTCAGATCTATCAACCTGCTTGAAAAAGGCCAATTAAGCACATGATCAAGCGTTAACTGAACACTACAGTTAATTTGAATTGAATATGGCAAACGAAGATAGTTACATCTATGAAGACAGCTAATCACATACATGGCCAGCAGAACAGATTGATTAAATGCTTGTGGAAGAACTAAGACACTCACTTCTTCATGATGTAAGCACTAATATTATTGCTGTTAACTAGAACACCAATGAAAACTCCATAATTAAACCATCTAACTTATTGGACTCAACAACACCGAAAATATTTTATTCTTATAGTTTCATTCTTTTCGTAATCTTGAATCCTCTCAAATCATAGAAATAAAATCTAGTCATACTCCTCTGTGTATATTTCTACACTCCTCATCTGTACTCATTTCATTTTGTAATTACAACTCGACAGCTAAAGAGTTATAAACTCAGTTATATGTATATAAAGTTTAAATTTTTTACTGTCTCATTCAGATCATCTCTCCATGTTTGTTTTAAAGAAATTAAATATATGATGTACAATACTTACTTTTATGGTATTGTGGTGAGACCATGATTCATGGATGACCTTTGAGCGACTCTAAAGTGACCTTGAGACAACTCACTTACTGGAGTCCAAAACGGTTACAAACTAGTATCAGAAATCAAGATTAGGACTTAGAGTTATAAGTTAGGTTTAAGGATTAGAGTAAAGGGTTTATCCCGAAGTGATATTAGCTATAATGTCAAAATATTATTTAACCATTATTATGAATATATTTCTTGCCAAAATCCAAACTTGCTATCTTTAAATTTCATTGGTTCGTCCATAAATTATAGTCTTACCGATATTTTATATTCTTATAAACAAATAACTTTTACTGTTGTTACTGTCTAATTTAACAGACTAGAATAGTTTGCTATACATGTTTATTTGTTCTTGAAATTATATGATCAGAACATGTAAAGTTCTTGGTATATATATATATATATATATATATATATATATATATATATATATATATATATATATATATAAATGAAAATAGTAGTTTCTTAGTCGTAAATTATATCTGGTCAACTTGTGTGTTTTAAAAACAAAATCAATACACTATTGCAATCATACACATTTATCTGCCTCTGTAAACTTACACCATAGGAAGGTTTCTAAATTCTCATTCATTATAATATTTTAGTGAACGAGACTCATGGGGAAAACCTATTTATTGTTTAATGCAATATAACAGAGTGCCTCGTAAAATATGAGAACCATACATTATTTGCAAATCTTCATCCAATTGTCCTTTACATGCTCCATGATTCCTTCAATTCTGTTGTCATCGCAATCGCTCTCTGTTTCTCTTTCTGTTCTCATCAATCAATCTTATCAATTTTGTGCTGACAGGCATTCCACTTTCCATTCGTGCTACATACCACTTATATGTGTGCACATAAGTAGCAAGCACCACTCTATTACTTTTTGTATATTTTTCTCTGATAAATTACTTTAGTATTCATAAAATAGCTCACTAACATTTGCATATAATGATACACTATATGTACACTAAATTCAATATATTTCTTCTCATCAATCTCTTTTCGTTTAAATGAAATCATCTACAATTTTGTCGGACAGTTTTAGTTTTTATTTAATCCTACTTTCAATATTTACTAATTAGCATCATTCGCTAACCAAATTAGTGTTCCAAGTTTGTGTGTCAAGTAAACACCGCTCCGTCAAGAGTGTAATATGTTATCTCGATTGACAATTCCTAATTACTTAAACAATTTAGGTGAAATGTTTTTCTGTCAATATTTGAATAGCTTAATGCAAATTATTTTCAAGACTTTGTGTTGTATTACCTTTTATACTTTCAAAATTTAACCTCTAGGAATTTGAGAATTTAGCTCCAGTCAAATCTGCTTTTTTCAAATACAATTTGGATCTAGTTACACATCGTAATTCTGTGATTGTATGCTCAGATCCAGAAGTTCGTATTGTCATAGCTTTTCCATCGGATTCTAAAAATGATTTATCATTTACATTTGGCTTATCATTTGATAATCAAGAAGGAAGTGAGGAGTTTCGTGGAATTCCTTTAACGTAAGCATTTGTTCTTACTGTTTCGTTTATTATCTAGACCTGGATTTATTTCGTATCCTCTTCTAGTTGAGCCATTTTATATTTATTGTTCTATTTTCTTTCGATATTTTTAAGCGAGTTGCTTTCGACAAACTCTAAAACTATAAGCACGAGTCTAAGCCAATCAGAGGACTACAAATATGACTGAATTATTTAATAATGCTGGGACTAGGGTTTAGAGTCAGGATTCAGAGTTGGTGTGTGTTTTTATCACGAACTGATATCAGCTATGATTCAAGAATATTTTATACTCATATCGATGTTGGGGTTGCTAGATCCCCAAAACTCACTTGGTAAATACCTTGTTTTGTAATTCTATTTTGAAAATTTGAATTTCTTGTTTTCGCCCCAAAAGCGCTCATTTTCACCTTCATGTCGTCTTTCCCACTTGTGAGTATCCTAAACGCTATTGGTTCGTTGTATCTTTTAATATGCTGTTTTGTAAAGCTTCACAAGGACATTTTTATGTTGTATATGTACGCCTGATTTGTGCTTGTTGTTGTTGTTCGTGCTTCTGGCTGCTTGTGGAATATATTTCCCTCTTCCGAGCGTGGACTTCTTCATCTAGTTAGCGGGGCTGGGACTCATCGGAATAGCTAGCTATCGATTACTTTGTCACAGAGTCTTCCTTTCGTTCTGAGATTAGGCGAACTCGTAATATCTTCAATTATGGCAGAGTTTCAGACAAAATTCCAAGAGGTACTACCCTAAATCGGATTGGTTTGGTGTAACCCTAAATCCCAAACCATAATACTAACTCTTCGTTATTAGACCCGTCAAAATTACATTATTATTTAACTTCCTCAGGATTGTTATGTACGGTTTATCCTTTGAAATAAATCTTTCTTTCTAACTAAAAGCGAAAAATCATTGTAAAAATGGAGTTAATCAACACCGCAACAAAGATTGAATAATAGTTTATACAATTCGTATTGAAAAGCATGAATTAAATCCATCAATCACAGTTGTATTATTCGAAAAACAGGCAAAGTGGTTGGTCAGTGGTTAGAGTACTGATCTTTCGATTAAACGGATCACAGATTCACACTACACTTCAATTGAGTTTGCACAAGTCAATAGTGTATCTTCCTTGCACATGAAATTTGTAAATCAAAGCCAAATAAATAAACCTGAACTTATTGTGAAGTCATACTATGTGTTTTATTTAACGATTTCTATTAAATTAATGAATAGTTGCAATATTTCTGTCTAACCATTAAAATATTTTCTACTACACTAGTTACACCTTAGGATCTGACTTATATAACCTATGAATTTGTAAGATCATCAATGATAGTACAAAAAATTAGGGATGGACAATATGGTTTTATAAGAATGAATCCGCAGATTAGAAAAATATAAAATGATTTTAAAACTCAAGATCTAAGAGACGGCAAAGAATGAATGCATCTGTATCACTGTGATCAATTATGAACCATATCACTCAATGTCTCCAACCACTGGTTACAAAAACCTTCTAGACTCCAACTTGGCAGTCTGCACATACCAACACGATTCAGTCCAACAGTCAGTGACTTCATAACTTGATGCTATATCTTGAATAGACGGCCTTCTGTTTTTCCCAACGTGCTCCTACACCATCAAACATTAAAAAATTCACTTTATTAGTGCTCATTGTTAAAGAAAACGAAATAGTCGCCCTCTTTCTAAAATATCCATACATATAATATTTTCAACTAAGATTTGATTTTTTTTACTTTTTAATTTCAGTCGATTCGGTAGACAAGAAACATTGATACGAGAGCATACATCAGTTTTCTACATTAGACCACCAAGACCTGGAGCATATAAATTACTTATCTATGCTAAACAACATCAACCACATCAAAATGGACAAAAAGAAGGTCTCGGTATAGTCAGTATGATCCCTGATGACTTAAGTTCTGAAAATTTGTTTGGTGCTGTTTGTGAGTATCGGTTAGTAGCGAATTTTGGTTCAAACTGTTCATTACCACCGTTTCCACCATGCCAATCATCAAGCTACGGACCAAATGAGGTATGGCAATGAAGTGGAAGATTTTAATTCAATATGATTGAGAGATTATTGTACATATATATCTCGAACTGATTATAACTAGACTGATATTGAAAACCTGGAAGCACTCAACGCCCCTTTGGTTCTGCTATGGGAAGCATCAACAGTGCACACCTATGACCTTGCACGCTGAAATCAAACCCAAGGTCTCCGGTTTCTAGTGCGAACGCCTGAACTTTGCACCCTTGAGTCGTGTCCAACAGTGTTGACGTCTAACCAATCCACCTTCATCCAGGTAGAAAAGGCCATCCAGTGCCTCCAGGTTTTCATTGATGGTTCGTGATTTAAACTAAAAATTTCACAATCTCCACAAATCCATATATATATATATATATATATATGAAATGACTGAGTATAAGATTTGGAAAATTTTATTTCCTGGATTTGTTGATGTTGATGGTTTCATTAATTTAAAATATAGTTTTTCATTAATGCACATACACTTGGATTGCATCACTACTAATCATCATCACTAAAAATATAACTAACCATGCTCGTTTCATAAATTGCCCCTCACTTTTAATGTTTGTTTTCATTTTTCATAGACCTGTAAAACTTGAGTAATATTTGTACAACAAAGATCATAGATACCTAGATATTCATGTCCGACGTCTTAAACTCAGAAAGCTATTGTAAGTAGTTTCGTCTGTACAAGTAAACTACGATTACAAACGATAAGTCTTAAGTTGAATAATGCTCTAAAGCAGCATTTAATCCATTTTTGAGATATCCGCACAGATGCATGGTAACCATTTGACTTTTTGATAACAATTATGCGGGTTGTGCAGGTTAACAATTTCTACGAAGAGTCCACCTAGGGGAGGTAGAAACCACTGATTCCAAACCAATGGTGCATATGGCTCCAGTATCCTGAAGGAACAAATAGTGTATGGACCTATTGTTGGTCACCGGCTACCGTGGAAATGCATCTCCTTACGATTCTCCACTGCCTTGTGGATCAGATCTTCAGGTCAAAGGCTCAGGGTGTGGGGCCCCCTAAGAAAACCACCTGCTTCGGTTTGGGCACCCGGACAGTATCCCAGCCCCCACACAAATCGAATGATTTATATGGCGCATATCTATTTGGTGCCTCCTTGTACCAATGTTTATGTGTTTAAATAAATAAATGGTGTTAGAACACTTAGATTTTCTAAATCTTGGAGTTCTACCTCTACATCCTGAAAAGTTTGTTAACAGACGATTTCGACTAATCTAATTCGTCGATATATGGTATATTTATTCACTTTATCATATTCCATTATAATCGCTTTGGTTTCTATAGCTTTTCAAGACTTGATCAGTTGGGTTTTTTTTAATAAGATTAGTATTTTTCATTAGTAAATAAGTTCTCATAGAAAATGTTTGACTATTATCTAATGTTTTTGCCAGATATTGGAATAGTTTTTTCCTACTTTTTACATTAAAAATTTTAAACGTACCCAGGCACAAAATTTCAAATATCCAAAGATACGGATTAAACATGTGAAGTATTAACTTGTAAACACTGAATATGTTTTGTCATTGGCTCGTATAGCTCGCCGTTACTCTTGATAAAGAAACCGAATGGAAAGTATAGATTTTGTGTCGACTTCAGAGAACTGAATAATATAACAGACCTGAAACCTTGTGCAATACCAACAGTGGTGGAAACAGTAGATCGGCTACAGAATGCTACGGTGTTTACAGTGCTGGATTTACGGTCAGGTTATTGGCAACTGCCTATAAAAGATAGCGACCGAAGCAAGACAGCATTTACTGTACGTGATAAACAGTATCAATTTAAACGAATGCCGTTCGGGTTGACGGGTGCACCGTGTACGTTCAGAAGATTAATGACACTACTGCTGAAAGATCTAGACAACGTCGAGGTATATGGCGACGATGTAGTTATATACAGTCAGATAGAAACAGATCACGTCAAGCATGTGGAAGCAGTCTTATAGCGAATTGACGAATTCGGACTTCGAATTAATAAGGATGTCGCAGATAGCGAAAACTAGCGTCACGTTGTTGGAAAATAAAGTAGGAAATGAAGAAATAAAACCATTGCCGGAGAAAATTCTTACTATAAGGAATATTTCAGTACCTAATTCGAAGAGGAAGTTGAGACAGCTTCTGGGAAGGGCGGTGTTTTACAGTCGGTTTGTCAAGAATTTCAACGAAATAGCATCACCCCTATATAAGTTGTTGAGCAATACTAAGTTTAAATGGACTGAAACTGCCGAACAAACGCTCAACCAAATCAAAAACATGCTAGACGATCGTCGGATGACGCTCAGACAGCCTGAACCCGAGAAACCGTTTACAGTGGCCACAGACACAAGTGATCATGGTATAGGTGCTATCTTGAGTCAGTCTGACAGAGTGGTGGAATACGCGAGTCGCGTTCTCACACTTGCCGAACAGAAGTATTGGACGATCGAAAAGGAGTGTTTAGCAATCGTGTGGGCAGTAGGCAAATGGAGACCGTGCCTTTTAGGTAGATGATTTCACATTGAGACTGAACATAAACCCCTGCAGTGGTTGAAAATAGCAAGAGACCCCCGAGGGAAGTTGGCGCGATGGATGATACGTCTTCAAGAGTACGACTTCTGTATCGGCCATATTCCAGGAAAGGAAAACGTAATGGCGGATTACTTGTCAAGACCAGACATGGAAGCCAAACTTCAATTGGCAACATACGCGGTGAATATTTTATAGGAGACCCAGTAGAACTCGTCCGGCAGCAGAAAGCTGACCCTAACCTTCGAGAGGTAATCAGAGTGATAAGAGAGGGAGCAGACGTCGACAAACGAACAATGGACAAGGAGGTAATAATGCTGCTTCGGCAAAAGGAACGACTGAGAGTGAACGCATATGGAGTCCTGGCCTGGCAGGATGATGACGAGAATTGGGTGGCTGTGATCCCGAAAGACTGACAGCGTAAGATGATACACGAGTGTCACCGATTAGCACATACAGGGATCGCAAGAACGACTGACTTACTACGACAAAGTACATACTGGCCAGGCATGAGAGACGATGTGGCACAATACGTGTTAACTTGCCAGCAGTGTTAACTAATGAAAAGCGATCGATGAGCACAACCGCCATTACAGTCAATCCCAGTAACCGCAGTCGGTGATCTATGGTCGGTGGATGTGATGGGACCGTTTCCACAAACGGCGAGCGGTAACCAGTACCTGCTAGTGGTGACGGAACATGCTACACGTTGGGTAGATGCCGTATCCATTGCAGACCAACGGGCAAAAACAGTGACCGAAGTGATAATCAGGCATATTGTAGCGTGTCACGGAATACCGAAGATGATATTAACTGACCAGGGTTCTTATTTTGAAAGTGACGGGTTTAAAGCCCGTCTAAAGCAGTTTGGCATCAAGAGGATACGAACTACACCATATCATCCTCAGACAAACGGGCTTACAGAAAGAAGCAATTGGACGTTAAAGGAATGGTTAGCATCTAAAGGAGGAAATTGGGAGAAAGAGTCACCATTGATTTTGCTGGTGCATCGTTCCTCCATACAAGGAACAACCAAGAAGTTACCTTTCTTGCTCATGTATGGCAGACAGCCACGACTTCCAATGCATAATAAGACCTGGCCACAACAACAGAAGTGGATGACAACAAGGTTAAGAAAGAGAGGAGGGAGGCAGTAAGGAACGTGGAAAAGAAACAAATATCAGACATAAAGAAGGCGGACCAACAGAGGAGAACGTGGAAACCTTTTGCAGTGGGGACCTAGTAAAGTGTAGAGAACGAAAAAGTAACATAGAAAGGGGAGCAGGGTCGGGAATGCTGATCCCAAAGTGGGAAGGACCGTACGTTATCACGGAGAGACGTGGCTCGGTTTACACGATCCGGAGAGAAGACAAGCAGAAGCGCGTCAATGCCAGTCAATTGCAGAGATGGTTTCAAGATCATTATGAGTGTGACTCACGAACAGCACCAAAGAAGACAGCTGTACGGCAATCAGAAAGACTACAAAGACAGCTTATTAAAAGGGGGGATGAGTGTGGTGCGTACTGCTTATATTGATATAAGTAGTATATGACGCGAGTCAGGAATGTAATGTCTGTCAGCAGAAGATTGGGAAGATCACGAAAGGAAGAACGGGTATAGAAACGCAAGAACAATGAAATCCGAGACAATTATTTGACATTTTGCAAATTAGGTATTATAGTATGGTTTTTCTATTTTATCTAGTAACTCTAATTTTGTGCTAAACATAATTCGGTTGTCTTCACTTGTGTTTTTCACGACACCATGTTATTACCAGTATGCATCAAATATTATGCAAAACAATTGATATAAGTGAACGAATAGTGCGGAAGTTTAACTCATATGACTATCATACGAAGGATTACTGCTTGTAATTTTTTTATTGTAAACTTAGACTTGTGTTTTTACATTCCCTTATTTGTAAGATTGCATCTTAACCATAAATCTTTGTCATATGTATCACTTATGACTAAGTGACATACACATTGTAATTTCTTTATTGTGTTGCTGTTATTAAACATTTCAAGTATTTTGTTGTATGAGTTTTCAACCATAATTGAGTTGAATACGTTAGAGCACTAATATATTTACCATCTTCATCTTCTGATCTGCTGCTGGGTTAGATGAAGCTCAACATCCTGCTTGTTATGGATTGGTCGATATATGAATTAGTAAACGAGTTACCTTTCTTACCAGTGACATAGGCGAACTAATCAAACTACAGAGAAAGATAGAAATAGATCATACAAAACTGCTTTTTTATTACAACGGTCCGACTACACGGGACCTAATACAAGCCAATCAAGCAATCTGTTTTCTTCCGGACATAACATAAATGGAAATGCTTCCACCTCCTTGTTTGTTTTTCTTTTCGAGCTTTTTATTTATTTAGAATAAATTGAAAACGACAATATTATTGGCAGAATATAGTGATTTCATAGTGATGTTTGATTTATTTATCTTCGACTACAAATATAAATTGTTAAGTTTAATTATCTAATCTTAAATTGCTAGCATAACTTGGGATTTGAAGAAACCAAGTTGTTCACCAATAAATGATAAGTTGTTTGAAATATAAATGCAGTGTACAATTAAAGTTTTAACATGGTCTCCTTTTTGTTAATAAACGCATTTCAGTTTTAGAATATTGGAAATAATTTTTTTCTAACACACGTAATGTAATAAATAATTGAGAGATTTAGAATCAAAATAGGCGTTAAGCTTAATAAACCGTGATTATAGAACTCAAATGAGAAAAATAGTCAATATGTTCGGTTTTACTTCTGTTTCTAAAGTGGATGAAGGTTAATTACTAATTTTTTTTTCAACACAATGATCTCGGGTCTTCTTATTACGAATGATTTCTAACTATTTGAAATAAGGCAGAGTAAGATTATTTATAGATCATTTTGGGTGAACTCATTGTATCTTTCATCTAACAAGTGGCTTGCAATCGAATTGTAAAGACTATTTTATCTTCAAATGCTTAAACTCTTGATAATATGCTCCAAATAAATGATTCTTTATTGATGGGGAATTTATCTGTTAGAATGATTTCAAATAATTGAACTTATGAACTTGTATATAGTTGAAGAAAAAGCATCAGAATACATTAAATTCGTATCTTAATCTTTATTGACATTTATAAACGGAATCAATTGTATTAAATGTTTTTCTCTTTATATTTCACTTCGTCTACTTTGTAATACTGATAGTTGGCTAAAAATTATCGAATAACAGCTCAACGTGTTGATTGTACATTACGTGCTATACGTGGTACTTTGGAAATACGTTTTGGTTTAGGCTCATTACCAGGTTGTCCACCGCCACGTTTAATGGCTAAACTCAAATGTACATTAGTTGCTGAAAATGCTCTTTCAAAAAGTTTACTACAACGAAGTATAAATGGGAATTCAGAAGCTGTATTTGCTATTTTCTTACCAGAAGCTGGAGAATATGGTCTAGAAGTGTACGCTAATGATCCTGTGAAAGATGGAAATTCTTTCTTTGTGGTATGTTTAAAAATTGTGTTATGTGTGTATGTATTTTCCTAACATCTTTATAGTAACATAGACATTAAAGAGTGCTGTTAGTGATATGAGAACAGTTGCCACTTTCCTGTCACCCATATCGTAGAAAGAAACTGCTTCTTAAGATACTTGAAAAGGATGTCATAAATGTATTCTCTCTTTATCTCACTCTACATTCTTAGCAATACTATTCTTTCCCGCTTACTTTTTCATTATTTTTTGCACTATATTCTCAATGTTCGGTCTTTCACATTACCATCACTGTCACATTATTTCTGTCTCTTTGCTATTACTTACTTACGCCTGTCACCCCTCGTGGAGTATAGGCCCCCCTACTAAGATTTTCCTAGGATATCCTTTGCTGTCCATCTTGTTAATTTCATCTCACTATGCTAATTTGGTTTGATAAATTGGACCAGTGCGCAATTATACCAGAATCTACATCGATTATGTTTGACTGATATTAAACGTTGTAAAACTTGTCTGCTCGTTTTTAGAGATAGATATAACCCAATATCAAAGGAATATATAAGCTAACTGGTTATTGTTGTTATCTTACATGTTAGAATTATATCGCCAACGTAAAATTTAAAAGATTATTTTAGTAAATCTTAGAGTAAATTCGATACACCGCATTTTTATATAAATGCTTCCCAAGGTTTTCAATTCGAGATACTATCATATTTTTCCAAAGCCTTACCAACAAATAAGATATCATTTTTAGATCCTCCGAAAAAGCAAAATAAGATTCTGATAAGAGAATCTAATTTAAATGGTAATGTGCAATAATGTCAAATGCCTCTCTCAGTCCTACTTAAAATCTTTCAAGAAGTATGACTTTTTTGTGTTATTCAACAAGCCTTAATAGACAAAATCTTATTTGCCTATAATTCGTACTATGTACACAGTGTGGATAATATATCTATATGGAGTTGTTTTCTAATGGTATACACTAACAGTTTCTTGTAGTAGATAAACAACATATAAGTGAGTGGAAGATATACTGCCTTTAGTTTGGTTCCGTTTCACTCCACTGAATCAAGGTTCATGATGCCATATATGTTGTTCAGTTAAAAAGTTTATAAATAACCGTCTTTAAATGAAATATACACTGGTACTTCAATTCAATTAATCATTATGTCGACAAAACGCCTTTCCAGTGCTTCAAGGTTTTTAATGGTTATCTAACTTGGATCAGTTTGTAATTTCAATGAAATTCAACAATCTCCACAATTCCATACTGATAATAGAATAGATTGTTTTATTTTCTATTGGTGTAAATGAACATTAAAAAGTCTTTGAAAAAAATCCTTATTAGCAAGTCAGTATATTCCAATTTCTTGTCAAAATATATTTCCTCAATAGTCCAATGACTAAATGTATATACTACTGTGATACTTCGTTCTGTGCGGAAAAGTAGCAAATGATCGTTTAACTTATATCTTTATGTATATGAAATTGAACATATTAGTCTTAGAAATTAAACTTACAATATATAAATCTGATGATTTCATCACTAATCTTCATGATTCTGGACTGGATTTCTCTAAAATAGTTGTACATTCTTACTGTTAAGATGAACTTGTAATGAAACTAATATTCTTTCTGGGGTTTTTTTGGAATGTCATAATAATTTCACATCACTTTCTACTGGATTCATGACTTATTAATCTACTCAGTTAACTCTCAAATATCTTCTTAACTCCACTCTATATATTGGTGGATTGTGTGGCATTATTTTCTTTTAACCCTCTTACACAATATATGTAACTCAAAACCTAATATTTGAGTCTATAGTTGGCTACTGGGTTGTACATAATATAAATTTTTTATTCAATGAAAATATTCGATAAAGTGTACACTACTCAATTATAAATGTATGAGATTCTCTCAGTTTCCATACATTCTTATTTAATTTTTCAAGGTATGGCAATATATTATTATATCAGATTGTGATTCTCCAGTTCGTGGTCTACCAACTATTCCGCCAACTTATTTAGGTCCAGTTTCACGTTTTGATTCAATGGGTTTAAAAGCTTTAAGTCATACAGATCCATTTATTCAAGCTAATACTGGTGAATTGTGTATTCAATTTGCTCGGCATCCTGATAAACCTTTACGAATTATGGCACAATTAATACACTGTAGTCATGATGTATCGGAAGATTGTTCACAGCAAGTATGTCCTATCCCATGCTTTCTTATTTAAAATCAAATATTTGCTTGTACATAATTGAGTCATTGTATTTGGCCCAGTCTTCAAGTTTACGTTGTGCTTTTTTTCTTTATTTGACTAGAAACGTTGTAAACTTATCAGAAATTTTTCGTTCATCCATGTTTTCTGTATGACTGTATAGATCATCAGTGTGCTTTTTAGACGGATGTCTCGATAGGTCCCTTCTGTCTTTTAACGACAGTATTTACTATTGACCATCAGTAGAGTTCAACAAAGGCGTTTCGTCGGATACACGACTCATCAACTCATGCTTCTGCTTACTGATGTTTCATTTGATGATCAAACTCAAATTTGACCATGATTCTGGCTAATGAAATTCAGTCAATTACTCATAAACAACATTAGACCCAGGCTATATTTGTATCAGTTCAAGTCGCCACACCTTATTAGCGTGATAAACTTGTCAAGGCACATCTCATTAGTAACAATATTAGCGGCAATAGAATATATTACGCGTAGAATATACGACTCAAGAAGTTGTGGACTAACGAAATGAAAGAAAATTGATAAAGTAATTTAGAAACTTAGGACCTAAAGGAAGACAAAGAAGGAATTTACCTGGACTATTGCGATCGATTCTTAACCAGCCATTTCACCCAAAGTCTCCAATCATTGTTTACGATAATCATACGGACCCTAACCATTTAGTTTTCAGCTACCTGCATGGCTCAATTCAACAGTCAGTGACTCTATGGATTGGTTCCAAGTCCCAAGTGCTGGTTTGGTTACATCTAGCTTTCTTTCAATCTATTACACTAACGCCGTCATCACAGCCACTGAAATTACTGTACTTTGTTTGTTAAAAATCGAACAGATTCCCAAAAAAGTATTTTACTAAGCAAATAATGGATGATATTTGTCAGTTTAAAGCTAAAACTATCTTCGAATTGATTAAGTCTCCACAAATAACCCACAGAACTTATAAGCTTGTTCTCTTCATTGATTACTTTTCTAATGAGCTTTTAAAGTGTCCAGCAAGATTTGAAACTTGTGAAGTTCAATTATTTCGAGATTATGACAGTTATTAACTAAGGCGTCTGATGATCGTCACGCTATATCTCGATTAATAAATGTTGAACAATTGGGTCTCAATTAAATCACAGAATGGTAATGCGCTTCCCGAGAATCCTCTAATGGTAAATGATTACTGAGGTCCACCACCATACGGAGTTCTGAAGTTGGATGAAACAGTTGTTCAATTATCTCTAGCTTTCAATTGCTCTTCCTTTACTATCATGACCTGTAGCCAAAAATCATCTTCAATCTAAACTTGAATCTCGACTAGCCATCAAATCAACAATATATGTTTGTTGCGAGAAGTTTTCAAAACCTAATTCTGTCATTTATTTAGTTCTCTTTACGCAAACATACTCAGTAATCTAACTTTCGGCTTCTTTAAGTTTTGTTCTCTCCTTTTCTCCTCATTTCAGATTCTTCAACAAACACGTGACTTCCAAATCTACTTTGTTATACGTTTCCCTCATCCAGGATTTTTCAAATTTCAAATATATGCTCTTCCTTATACGGAACCAGGCGAATCACTTCCTAGTGTCTATAATTATCTATTGGAAGCAACTCAGGTTAATCGTGGAAGAAATGGTCATGTAATGTGTTTTCCACAACAATTCGCCCAATGGAAAGAAGGTTGTTATCTTCATACACCAATGGATGGTATATTATATCCTAGTGGATCAAATCAACCAACTGCTGATACTGTACCGTTTCGTGTCACCATACCAACTGCACATGCAGTCGCTGTTGTTGTCGGTGAAGATTGGACACATTTAAGTAAAGTTAATGATTGTTGGATTGGTCAAGTTTGTCTAAAACCGTATTGGGGCATAGAAAACCAATTAGCATTATGTGCTAAGTATAATGTTGACGATGGAAACTATGGCACTCTATTAGAATACCGATTAGCTAAACGGTAAACAAAAATAAATGGAAAGATGGAAGATAAAGGGATTAGATTTTACTAAAAAAAACCTTATGATATATATATAGATATAGTTTCACGTGGTGTACAACTCATTCCTTGTTCCCACATTCGTCCAACTATTCTAATCAGCTTAACTCAATGTGTAATTGAAATGTGTTTCATCCCAATTTGTTTGTGTTTTAGTGGCGGATAATTGGTTCATTCCTTTTGCATCCCACACTTTGATCATGTAATTTGCGGATCTTGCTTCATTGAAATGAAATTTGTGCATATTGATTTATATGTGTACGTGTGTGTAGATCCTTATATTTATATTCTGCTTACTGGAGAAGTATGCATACACATACAGTTACACATCTCTCATAGAGCTACTTATCTTCCCTTCCCTCTATGATTTTTCCACTCAGCAAACACAAAGTACACACATACACAGTTTTCTTTATCTTCAATCACTTATTACTTGACAGAATAAAGCCTGAACAGTAAGATCATTTCTTTGTTTTAATATAGTTATTATAATTTTCGTAAAGAAATATTGTGCCTTATTTAATAATGGTAATAATTATTACTATTATTAGTATTATCAATGTTTTTTACACCACTATTATATCTGTTATGTTATGAATACTCGACTACTCTAATTTATAATTACTTTTTATTTATCTATTCAATAAATAAATCATTTTAAGTACACAAACATGTCGTAAAATCTATCACTGCCCTCTCCAACACACCTAGAAGTTTAGTAAATAAATGAGACCATTAATAAGTTTGCTGAATGAACCGTGATGATTGTTAGTTGCGATAATGTAATATTTTGTTCTGTATTTATTTCTATTTTGTTGTTGTTCTTGTTATCGGCAATTTTAATGATCTCATCATGTTTAATTAATCAAACAATCCATCTATTGTGTATTTATGTGTGTGTTTGTGTGGTTACTTTCAGTCATAAATAACTAATTATCTTTTAGTTTTTAATTTTTATACCTAACATTCACTTATTTGTCTTCCATGTAAAATTGTAATTTATTTTTTGTACGTTTATTTTGCTTAAAAATACACTTGGGTTAGTCATGATGAATTAGCTAATAACTAATTAATTTATTGAATTTCATCTCCACCCTGTATTTGTTTAGCACCATTATTTCCTTCTCTACTTCACTTCACTTCATTTATGTCGTATTTTCACTGATGAATTCTATGTATGTATGTCTTTAATATAAACATTTTCTCTTAGTAACTGTTGTATTTGTATTGGGGTTAATTGGAATGTAAGATAAAACTAAACAAAAGCCTTCATTAAATGTAAAATTTAATAACTATTATCAGTGTAGAGTTGTGGAGATTGTTTAGTTTTTTATTGAGATCATGAATCGATGAATGTTAGACCACCATTGAAAGCTTGGAAACACTGGACGGCCGTTCCGTCCTCAGCAGTACGCATCCACGATCCCGTACACGGGATTCGATCTGGCGCACGAACGCTTATATCATGAAGTTTGATAGGATGATTATCTTCATTTAATCATTGGAATTCTTTACTTAACAAAAAGTTATATTCAGGATGGATATAATACAACAAAGGTTGTTCGATTACTATCCTCTTCGGAGTTATTTCAAACTAACCTACATATAAAAATGCATTTAAGTTTAACATTTTATCAACTTCATGTATTACAGTCAATCTAGAGAAAGGTAAAGAAGAATTTTCCCCCAAAAATCTAGCATCTAACACCATTTGGAATTAAAATGATTGTTTGTTGTGGAACGTCGACTTAAGTATTGATAAAATTAACTTATAGTATTTACAAGGTAAATGCTACTAATTTTAGCATATTTTAACCAAAATAAACATGAAGTTTACCTGTCGAACCGTGTAAAATCGTATTCAATCTACATACATTTTACTCTTCTGAAAAAAAAACAACAAGGTTCACTACTGCGTCAGAAGTTAATAACTGTTTGGTGTTATAATAATCTCTTGCTCTTTTACAAGCATAAACAACATTTATGTATACATTATTTGCAAGAATGTCGCATGTCACTTTGATGAACATGATACCTGAAATATGTAGGTCAGTGAATAGTTTTAGTCCTTATTTACCCGTGTTAGTCATTTACTCAAAAACTTAAATGATTAGCTTTAATCGGAATGTGGTACTCTATATCTTTCCTTTTTAATCATTACTGGGTGTTATACGATAAAAGCAATTCATGAGCAAATCCAGAGTATTGATTATATATCATCTGATTCCATTAAAGCTACAATCTAGCTAATATTTCATTCAATATATATTTCCAATGCCTAGCAAGTGAATAAGTAAATAATTCGTGATTATTATGATTTTTCCTATAATGTTAATGTAAGACGTCAGTACTCGTCAGCAGTGCTTTTTTTATAACCTTGTATCAACTATTCAGAAATATATGTTTAACACTAAGTTTTAGTCGCATTCAACCTTCTAACACCAAAAAAATATCTACTGTAATTTCAGGCCTTCTAGACTAGTGGTCACATAGGAGCTAGACCTATTTATACCAATAAAATCATAACATCATACTGATCAATACTACTTAACCACTTAGTATGTGATGGATGATATTAAGAAATTCACGAATAGAACTGTATGACTTTACACGATCATCAAAAGTAAATATCCATAGAGATATATGAATTATACAGCCTCGATTTCTACTAATTAGGCTGAGATTATTTTAGTTAGAATAAAATCATTCTAAGACACCTAGATTGCATAATTAGAATAAATATTGATATTGTAAAACAAATAAACCCCTATGATACTGTCTGTATTTATGGATCACCTTTGGTTCACTAACTACGCTATATATATATATATATATATATATATATTATATATATATATATATATATATATATATATATATCGTATAAAAGAATGTAACCAGCATTTACTTTAAATAAACAAATAGTTGTGGCTCTTCAAATCTACATGTCCATTGATTTCCATAGTGTATTTTAATCTAACAAAAAATCACTGAAAAATTTAAATAAGATATGACTGTAATCATTTGAAAAAGTAAATAGCGTCTCAAACAGTAATAACAAACTGCAAAAAAATTGTGTTGAGTAAATAAAGAGAATTTGTAACAAAAAATAAATTCATTCAAAATAACTAACTGGTTTCGAGCGGTGATTTCGTGAGTTCTAATGTAAAACAGCGACCAGTGGAGTTCAACTACGTTGGATTTAAGTAATCTGCCCATTAATAATTTGGAAGATTGATAATTAATAGTTCAACACTGTATGCAGGCTCAGTGGTCTACAGTTTAAGGTCTAGTCACAAGATCTTAACGTCCTTAGTTCGATTTCGGGGTGGGGGGCCGGGTCATCGATGTGCACTAACGAAGAGTCCTATACTAGGATGTAACAGCCGTCCACTACCTAGTTTCAATGGTTATTTTATGTGACGGGGAAAACTCGTCAAAAAGAATGATGAATAAAATGTTCAGTCATAGAAAATGAGGTGAATTAACTCAGTTTTTCCTTGCTACTTCGGTATATAAACTGAATGTGCCACTGTGACTAAACATTATATCTCTCAGATATTCTATCAAATATTACGTAATGTATCAAACGACGAAGCGTAGTAATAATCTTTATCTAAATCCATTAGTAAAGAAAACCTATACTCAATACCTCTTCTCGATCACACTCCAACCACCTAATGTCTCAAAATTACAAGTTCGCGTTGCTGACAAGTGTCAATTAGCACAAAATTCAAGGTTTCCTGTCCACTGTCTAATGAAGATAACTGTTGTGGATGCGGAGGAATAGACCAATAATTATCATGTTAAGTCCAATGGTGTCCTTGGACTTTAAATGGACATTTCCTATTGGTCGGTATCTGTTCACTTGTTGAATATTGTACAAAATGTTGTTTTCTATTTTATGGTACGATGTGGCATGCTTGATTGGTATATAAACAAAGTATGTTTGAAATATAGTGATTCAAATCTCCGAGGCTGTGACTTGTGTTCTGGACTCAACTGACTGGGCTAGACAGGGAAGCGAGACCAATCAAGACTCTAGGCCGTCCGTACGTGTTTACGTGTCACTGTAATCGATCGATAAGTACGCTGCTCTCTAATTTTCCAGTCAAGGACACAACAATTAGCACAGGGTAAAAATCGACCCAACTTAAAGTCATAACAATAACAAGGAAAAAATGAATAAAAATGGTGGAAGGATGAATGACTGGTAAAATTGTTTTCAAAGCCTTCTTCAGTTAAAAACTGAATCGCGTTATCACAAATATTTTTTAGAAGACAAAACTTGGATCTCTGTAACTTTTATAAGAATGTAATCAATGAATATGAACGAAATAGATCGAAAAAAATTCAGATGGAGAACTAAATACTACCTTCAATTATTTATATCTATTTACCAGTTGGCTACTATTGATTAGATGTGATGTAAGGGAATTGTGTATTGACTTTGTCTGACCTTTTCTGAACCATAAAGAAAGATGCTCCTTAACTTACCAACCACGTTCCATCAATATAGTTATCTCAACAGAAGAAACTGAACAAATAATTAGGACTGCAACACAAATTAAATTATCCTACGTTTGAGCAAATACTACTAACAGACTTAGATTTATTGTATGTAACAGGTCCGTTTGCAGCTCTGGCCAGAACGTTGATTTAGTACTATAGGAGAAGGGATCTTGTTACTGAGGGATTTCCTACTATTCGAACAATCATATGTACCAAAATTACAAATCACCATCTGGAAATAATTACAGAATGCATTCCAGTTTAAAGTCATGACAGGTTGATACAGTAAGCAATGCTACATGTAAAGTACGGAGATATAAGATTAAATTGTTTGAAAATATGTGGTTTACAAATTGTTTTGAGGGGAAATTGGTCACAAGGGGGCAACATTTGGGAAGCAGTAATTCTTCAAAATAAGACTAGGACATTTTGTTGGTGAGTGAATGGTCTATCGAGAAATACTTCCAGTCCCGTTACAGATTAATTGTGATCACCTAAACTAGAAAAAAAAGGTACAGAACAACAGCAGCGAAAACTACTGCAATAAATCTGCTGTTATAAGTATTCTAGATTGTCCTATGACTTAGTGATTTGGATAGATATTATTCAAACCAATCAGCTTAACCAGAGACAGCATGTTTGTAAAACGACTTCAGTAACCGAAGTTTATTAAGTGAACTCAATTATAACAATAAATAAACATTTAATCTCTCTATAACTTCACTAGTAGAGTAGAATATAGTCATAGACGTAAGAGAGCATTTTTAAGACATTATCAGAGAGGGAATGATCATCGATGAACCGACTAAATAATAGTAATGAATTTCATTTCACAAACATATTGAGACAAATTAATCTAGATTTATAAAAATTCATTTGTTAGTAGTCTTTTTACAGATAAGTTTTAGAACGAGACAGTTTCACTTTTAATAAAGAGTTAGGCATACTATAACTAGGTGTTACTGTATATTGAGTGTGATTAGTAGACATCAAGAATCAAGTATTTTTAGAAAAATTATTAAATTTAGTTCACTACTTTTCTTCCATAAATCACCGAGTCAAAGCTTAATATATACAGATGTTTAGTTTAAAGTAAGTGCAAATCTAATTTTCACACTTAATAATATGATTATCACTACTAATTTCTAGTGGGTTTTTTTTACATCAACGTGTCATTTCTAGTCCCCTAACTTACTATTGACCATTCTGTATAATAATTACTGCGTGAAAGCATTTCTTCTCTATCTCCTTTAAACAGTGAATAACCGAGAAAAAAAAGCAACAAAGAAAATAAATGATTTTGTTTATATTATCACCACCACCACTTCAAGTATCGTTATTATTAATTGATTACAAATATTACCCTTATAAGATAATTTTATGATTTGTTGCATAGATTAGGTCAAGTGAATTCTTATTGGTTGAGAACACAATATTTGATTTTATCAGTTAATTTTAATAGTGTTGACCTTGAAAAGGGAGTTGAATGAACGTACACAAAGATATACATGAAGTGCATGTAATAACTACTTTGGTAAACTATGAAAATCTAACAAACAGTCAGCGTTACGATCCTTTTACAATATAATTCAGCTGTACATTTATCATATATGTTTACTTTCCCATTATCATTTGTTCATGATAACATTTTACATAATTTTCTGAATACTTTTAATTTTTATTAATGAAATAAACAAGTATTCTCAACAGTTTTATGGTTCACAATAGATTAACCTTATCTAGACAAATATTTGAAACTAAAAAGTTCTGGATGGCTGTTCCGGATAGCTCAGTGGTAACGTCTCTGACTGTGAAGCTAGGTGACACAGGACCAAATCCGTCAGGGAGTACCAGTTCCCTCAAGATTACAGGTACACCTTGCTGACGAGTGCCAAGTAGCACGAAACCCGGGTTCAGGGTTTCCTGTCGACTACCTCCAACCACCATCTAATCTCAATATATAGTGCACGCAGTGTCGAGTCACTTAGACTGGTGGCCACATTGCAACATGGTCGATAGCATTCGATCTGCACTAATAAAGACTTGACACACGTGAGATTGATCACCACCCAGTGATTAATCAGTTGTGATTTATCATATCTGTTTACTTTCCCATTATCATTTGTTCATGATAATATTTCACATAATTTTCTAAATACTTTTGATTTTTATTAATGAAATAAACAAGTATTCTCAACAGCTTTATGGTTCACAATAGATTAACCTTGTCTAGACAAATATTTGAAACTAAGAAGTTATGGATGGCTGTTCCATCCTAGTATGGATGTAATTTATACAATATAACATTCTCTACAAACCCTTTGGATTTTAAATTAGCCTATTATAATATATACCGCTAGTTTTACACGTCTTCTTAAGTAACTCATATCCTGTGGACGTTACACAATCTTTATTGTATCGTTTTCACATATGATTTAGTATTACAATCACTCCATGTTATGGATTGATTAAAATTGGAAATGTGAAGTAACTCAGTGATTTAATAATCAAGCTTTCACCATGACATCTGTATACTTTCTGTTCTGTCGTTACCGTGTAAATGATAAGTGTTCATAGTTAAGATGTCTCAAACTAGAACAAACCAACTATTTATTTCTTTTTACCTCGATATCAATTTGTAACATAAGCTAACTCAAAGTTCAATAAATCTCTCGACAACAAATCAGTCTAGTCTATTAGAGATCAACAAAAAACAATAAATTGAGCGTTAACTTTTAATACAGTTTTTATCTAAAAAATAGTTATCAGATATATTAAAATGAAAAGTTATGAGTCTAAATTATTCGGTTTAGATGTGCTTTATCTCACTATTTCTGCATAACTATTCTATTATTTAAGAGTTCTAAAATCTAATAAAAAACCTGAATACATACATACTAATTAGAATGAGACATTAAACTGAAGACAGCTTTTGTTACGTCCTCTGCTTGATTACAGCTAATACGGTATATGGCAATCGGCACTCGAACGCGTAGAAAACCCACAGTCTCAAATCAAAAGAAGAAAGAAGGCATGAGAAACCGTTGTTGAGTAAATGTCAAAAATGTACAGAAAAACAGGAATATTTATAGTTGATGGTATAAGTTATAACATCATTATAATCCAGTCAATCCGCAAGTAGAATATTATACAATTGTCCGATTGTAGCAAGTGACGTTGATATTCTAGAAATTTCTCTCAGGTTCTTATCAGATGGGATCTTTTCGGATCCTCTAAAGCCTCTGAAGGCTTCACTGCGCTTTCTGGGGCCTTCCCACGGCTTTGATTTTGGATTTCTGGTTATCTAACCAGAAAAATTAATTCACATTAATTCAATTGAAACTCGACTGTTAGGCTTAATTTTTGCGCTTCATATGAAATCGAACTAGTGATTTTTTCCATGAGACAGAATCTCAAATCATCAATCGAATAGGTCTGAGAAATCAATGATAACTCATTGACTGTAATATTGAGTAACACAGGAAAACGGTCAGTTCATTTAAAATTACAAATATGTCTTGTTAAATAGTTCCTACTAACATGAAATCTATAGTCAATTAGTATTACAAAGGTTCAATACAGCCTTCTTTCAAGATACTAACAAACTCAATGAATTCAAGATAACTCTCAACAATAGGTTCCAAGCCTCACAGGATCTACTGAAAGAAGAAGAAACTACTTTGGAGGACAACTGGAAAGGTATCAAAGAAGTATTAACTTTAACGTGTCAGGAGGTTATGGGTCTAAAGAAGAATCATCACAAGGAATGGATCTCTATAGAAACACTGGACAGGATCAAAGAAAGGAAGAACAAGAAGACAGCAATTAACAACAGCCAAACACGAACAGAGAAATTCCAAGCAAAAGCTGAATACATAGAAGCAAACAAGCAAGTGAAGAAAATCATTAGAGCCGACAAGAAGAAATACGTGGAAGGACTAGCAACGACGGCAGAAAAAGCTGCTAGAGAAGGAAATATGAAACAGCTTTACGATACAACGAAGAAACTAGCAGGGAAATATAGTAATTCAGAGAGACCGGTAAAGGACAAAGAAGGCAGGCCAATCACTGAAACTCAACAACAGCGTAACAGATGGGTAGAGTACCTCGAGGAAATCCTGAATAGGCCGGCTCCAATGAGTCCACCGGACATCGAAGCAGCACATACAGATCTTCCCATAGACGTCAACCCACCAATGAAGGAGGAAATCAGGATGGCCATCAGAAAAATCATGAGCGGGAAAGCAGCAGGACCCGACAGCATACCGGCTGAAGCACTGAAATCAGACATCGAAGCAACCACAAGCATGCTTTACCTTCTATTCCAAAAGATTTGGGAGGAGGAACAAGTGCCAATGGACTGGAAAGAAGGACACCTCGTCAAGATTCCAAAGAAAGGAGATCTGAGCAAATGTGAAAACTACAGAGGCATCACACTACTGTCAATACCAGGGAAAGTCTTCAACAGAGTGTTGCTGAACCGTATGAAGGATGCAGTAGACGCCCAACTTCGAGATCAACAAGCTGGATTCCGTAAGGATCGGTCGTGCACAGACCAAATTGCAACACTACGGATCATCGTCGAACAATCAATTGAGTGGAACTCATCACTATACATCAACTTCATTGATTATGAAAAGGCATTCGACAGTGTAGATAGGAGGACATTATGGAAACTTCTTCGACACTACGGAGTTCCTGAGAAGATTGTCAATATTATCCGGAACTCATACGACGGACTACAGTGAAAAGTATTGCATGGAGGACAGCTGACAGATGAATTCCAAGTAAGGACCACAGTCAGAGAAGGCTGTCTGCTCTCTCCCTTCCTCTTTCTTCTGGTGGTCGACTGGATTATGAAGACCTCGACATCTGAAGGAAATCACGGAATACAATGGACATCTCAGAATCAATTAGACGATTTGGACTTCGCAGATGACCTAGCTCTCCTATCACGTACACACGAACAGATGCAGATGAAGACAGACAGTGTAGCAGCAGTCTCTGCATCAGTAGGCCTCAGCATACACAAAGGGAAAACCAAAGTCCTCAAATTCAAAGCGGAAAACAGCAATCCAATCACTCTTGATGGCGAAACTCTGGAAGATGTAGAGTCCTTCACATACCTAGGAAGCATCATCGATGAACAAGGAGGTTCAGATGCAGACGTAAAGGCGAGGATCGGCAAAGCAAGGATCGCATTCCTACAATTGAAGAACATATGGAACTCAAAACAACTTTCAACCAATATCAAAGTGAGAATCTTCAATACGAACGTCAAGGCAGTTCTACTGTACGGAGCTGAAACTTGGAGAACTACAACAACCACCATCAAGAAGGTACAAGTATTTATAAATAGCTGTCTTCGCAAGATACTCAACATCCATTGGCCGGATACCATCAGCAACGGCCTTTTGTGGGAGAAAACAAACCAGCTTCGAGCTAAATAGGAAATTAGGAAACAACGTTGGAAGTGAGTAGGACAAACATTACGCAGACCAGTAAACTGCATCATGAGGCAAGCTCTAACTTGGAATCCTGAAGGGAAGTGGAAAAGAGGAAGGCCAAAGAACACATTACGTCGGGAAATAGAAGCAGATATGAAAAGGATGAATAACAACTGGAAAGGATTGCCCAGGACAGGCTTAGATGAAGAATGCCAGTGAGCGGCCTATTCTCCTTCACGAGGAGTAACAGGTGTAAGCAAGTAAGCAATTGAGTAACCTACAAAGTGATTTCCTCTAATCACTGATGTCATTTTATCATCTTATTTTTCGTTTTAATATTTTATATATTAATCGCATAATTTTATTCCATAAATAACCTAGTCATCTAAATTCACTTGGTATTGTTTACTTGAATCTTCCCATTGATATTTAAGATTGCGATTGATCAGCTTCATATTGGCATATGTACATCCTGTACGTATTGCCTCGATATGAATTCTTCTGACTAATCATTTTGTTTTCAATACTAATACATTCCATTAGGCTTATATCATTTAGTCATATTACATTATTCTATATTATTAATTGATTAGAATTTGATTCATTCATTTGAACAATCGAAAAGTTATTTTATAATAATAATAATTATTATTATTATTATTATTAAAATACTAATCAATAAAATGTAATTATCTTTAATTATTTCTAGTTATTTATCAATAAATGAAATCATTATTAACAATTAATAAATTACATTAATTGAAAAGTTATTAATGATCCCTCTGAAACTATCAATATTATAATAATAATAATAATAATAACGATAATAATAATAATAATAGTAATAATAATGTGTCAGTTAATCAAATACATACAAATAATAACTCTAAATAAACATTCTCCTCATTTAATTGATAAACATATTTCATCTCAATTATGTTTAATCAAATGTTTGTTGTTGTTTCTCTTAATAATTAAAAGAAGTAGGAGAATAATAAGTACAATGAAACAATGAAAACAAAACCAACAAAAATAATAATAATAAATATTCATTCTTCTCTCTTTTCATCTTTAAATGTGTCTATATTGTCATTGTTTATTCATTGACGGATTTTCTCGTTTGTTTGTTTGTTTGTTTCAATTTCTACTTTGTAATACTTTAACGTTTATTATTTTCATTAATTTGTGCTAAACTTTTTAATCTTGTCATTGATTTTATATCAATTCCTGGATCTGCTAAACTAGCACGTTGAGATAATGACATTGAACTACGTTTTGATGCCAATGTTCTAGCGGAACTACAACGACTAGCTGTTACAGATTCCCAACTTTCACCAGAATGTTGATGTGATGAAGCCATATTGGAATCGGCAATTCTTTCACGTTCAGTATTTAATTCATCTAAGAATTTAGCAGTTTTCTCATCATCTGAAGAATTTGATCTACCATTTAACCAATAAGTTAATATTGTACCACCGTCCTTTTAATAAATAATAAGAAAAATTGTTCTTAGCAATAATCATTGCCTTGTATGAATGTTACAGTCCTATAAATATAAATTATATATATAAACCTGGAAGCACTGAACGGCCGTTTCGTCCTAGTATGAAACTTCATATTATTGCGCATCCGGTAGGTCTTGGGCTCGAGTCACGCTTGCGAGATCAAGGGCGCGTACTACTGAGGAGCCGCATACTAGGACGAAACGGCTGTTCAGTGCTTCCAGGTTTTCAATGGTGGCTTAGCTTAGATTGACTCCTGAAGTCATCATTTAACATATTTTTTTCAATGGTTGTCCAACTTAGATATGTTAATGACCTCAATAAGATATAAACATCTCCAAATCCCATACTGTAGTTATTATACTTGAGGAAATCTTGGTGTTTATCTGATCCGATTATAAAGGAAGTTAATATACGAATAGTAAACTAGAAAATGAAATTTTCACTTTAAATAATATTTCCCAATAGTTTAAGTGATTCCTTCTACAAGAAAAAACACTGTTATTAATGTAACAATTAAAAATGAACAAAAAATCGGATAATTCAATTGACTGATCAATTACTGATATGAACGAATAATTTACCGGAAAAAATTATATTTCAAATTATTTACGAATAAAATTTGTCAGACTGAATCACTGGTCAAATGAGTGTATCAATGCAAATATGTTAGGTTATCAAAGTTATTACTTACAAGTAAGATTTTCAATCAAGATGTTTCAAGTGAATTATTTATCAGATAATCATGGATAGAAATTAAGTTCACAACGTAAATCAGCAGTTCTGTGCTTATGTTTACCTCGAATAGAATATCTTATTTTACATAATTTAATAGTGAACAGTATTTATAAGCTGAGATGATGGTATCTAGCAGTGGAATTCAGGAAGCGCGTTTCGTACCATTTGGGACTCGTCAGCTTGATGTACCTGCATTCCAGAGTTGGTGTTCACTCCTGGACGAGTCTCGAAAAGGACGAAACGCGCGTTCTGAATTCCACTGCTAGCCACCATCATCTCAGCTTATAATGATTATGACTTGAGGCAATACCGATACAATCCGCTCAGGATGCACGTATGCCAATAAGAGACTGATCGATTGCAGTCCTAAACATCAATAGGAAGATTGAAGCAACCAATACAAAATGAACTGAATAGTATTTGGTTCAAAAAACCTATTAAATACAGTGTTCATCATGTCATTAGTAGCTTTTAACTGGTCTTTACTTTATTCCTTTATTTCAAAACTGATTTAGGTTCTTCATAGTTATTAATTTAACTAATCACTGATTAATTATCCAAAATTTGTTTCTGCTTTTATATAATTGCAAAGAAAACAGTAGCATATTAACCGAACGGTTAAAATGCTTGTATGAACTGATTGAACAATTTATTTCATATGATCATTTGTGAAGAATCGTATATTCTTGGCTGTCGATATTCAGAGTTGAAATTTGATCAATCTCTGTTGTACAGATTTCTTGGTAATGATTATTCTTAGAAAACAAGTATATTTTGAAGAGTAATAAGCAGTGAAATCCATCACGTTCATCTTGCCTAACGTGTTACTTGTCATCTAGATGTAACTGTATCCCAATGGTGACGTTCGCATTGAAAGTGAGACCCAATATTGACATGGTAAGACAACCAGAAGTAACCAAATGAGAATGTCAATTGACGGCAATCAGAAGTGATCTGAAGGACAAGTGCGTTTCATTGGCTAAGAAGTGAATTGATTCCCTTAGGAGTAGAGTTGTACCTATATAAATCAATATTTTTGCATTTTATTTGGTAGCTCAATATACTTTCTCGTCCACTCTTTTGTCCTCGCTCATGTAGTCATTTGGGGAGTCAGCGTGTGGCACTTTATGTATCAGTATCAGAATTCGTACACCACTCGTCATAATAAATACCTATGACTTTAAAAGCCAGCGTGTTAATACCCCTAGGCATTAAGTCATGGTTGTCACGCATTTGTTCAACTGGAACGAAACGTGTTGTGATTGTTTAATCAAGAATAAATTAATTAGAAGCATTTCGGATGCAAGTGTTTGAATAGAATACCATCTTTTTAAATAAAGAAATAGATTTTCTCATGAATATACACAAAGTAATATTCAGACGTAATGTGTTAGTTGGATTTAGTCGAAAAGGAACCTAGCTTGACTTATGTTTCGTGCTATTGGACATCAGTTAACAAGGTGTACCCATAACTTTGAAAGAATCGATGCTCTCCGGCTGACTCCATTGTGCATTACTCAGGTTCTCAGTCAGGGACGTTACTACTGAACTATCCAGGCCATAAGTGACATGTGGGACTGAGATGTATTTACAAATGATTGATCACTGAGAAATGAAAAATGTCATATATGTCAAGTCCTTTTCAGTTCTGATAGAATTCTGTTGATCAAGGTTCAGGAGTTCCCGTCTACTTCCTCCAGCTACCACCAGACATTTCAACATAGTACATGCGAAATCAAGTCACTTAAACTAGTGGTCGTATTACAACGGGATCGGTGGAAATCGATCAATACCAAAATGGACTTGACTTAGATTATATGGGTCACCACTTAGCGAGCAATCAGATGCTAGAAAGTTGTCTTAATTTCAGTATAAACGATTTTAACAAACTTAAAAACGAAACGAAAATTAAATTTTACTCACTTTTAATTCAACTCTTCCCTTCTCAGTTAAATCATAAACACCGTATTTTAAAAGATTTTCATATGCTTTCACACTGACTTGTATTCTTTGAGGCTAAACAGAAATAGTTGAAGACACTCTTGATGATTTATAAAAGTATGAACTAAGCTAATAAAACAATTAGCCAAGAAAATTATTCTATTCTGTAAGTTACTGTTGTCGATTTGCATTTGATAATTGTTCGGTGTTGAAGATGTAAACCAATAGATTCTGACAGTGTCATACCCACCACCAACACTAAGGTCCTTATTTATCATCACTTCTGTAGTTGTGTTGTATTGTACCAAACCCCTTTGATCTATTGATGTGCGCCACAAATCAATCTCTCTGTGGTCACATAAAACTGTGCCGATCAAGTGTAGGTGTCATTTTGACTACTTTAGTTACTTTGCTTTAACATTAGACATTAAATTAGTTGCATACTTTTCTATTTGAACATAAATGTGTGTCTAATGTCTATCTTTATCTACAGTCTATTTAGTTATCTATTTACCCATTTATACTTCATACATTTTTTGCCTCATTTATGTGATTTCAATCGCACCTAATAGGATCACATTGTCACCATACCGTTTATGATTCCATTAATTACTACTGTTTGTCTATTGCAGTGTCAGTGTTTGGAATATATTGATGTTCAGTAAATTTCGTATTCGACTCTTTATATCATCATAGCTTAACTGAGTTAGTCGATAAATTGTGTACAAAATTAAATAAAGGAATGCATTAAATGGAGTTAACCTAAGGGAATTATAATGTATACCGATAACGAGTACCAATGTATTTAATACTACAATTATTTCCTCTTTAATATCTATAACAAACGGGAAACTTTATTGAACATGTCTAGACAATACAGTTTATCATGATGTTCATAATCAATAGAATAAAGAAAGTAGAATGAACTAATTAACTAATTAAATTTATTCAGATTGATGTATTAAAATATGATGTAGGTGAATATCTTCCAATTGATTATATTCATTCTTGTACAAAATATTATCTTGTAATTCACTTGGCATTATTTGGCTTATATCTCCCCATTGAAGTTTAAGACTGTAATTGATCAGTGAATTTAAATTCGTCCCATTATACAGGCAAGTGGCTATCAGGACTCAGTAGCTAAGTGGATAACGCGATGGCGTTTGAAGCGAATGGTACTGGGTTCGAGTCTCAGAGTGAACATCAATTTCGAGATGCAGGATCATCCAGCTGACGAGTCCCAAACAGGACGAAACGCGCTTCCTGGATTCCATTGCTAGCCACTATCCATTATCGCTTACAAGATATTATCTTAGAAGTTTGAATAAAAATGATGACTGTACTATATTTTTCTTATTTTGTATTATGAGTGAAATACAATCCATTCAACTATATGATTACATATAATTGAAATGAAATGGAAAATTTAAGAAAACATTTAAAAATGTAAACACTGAATTTGGATAAAGTAGTTGAAAAGTAACTTCTACACAGTACAACTTAAAAATCATGGGCCCGACTCCGTGTATGATCATTGGTAAGTAGTCTGAATGAGTTCAAACCCAGACGAAACAATGTGAACATTATTCTTTTGGTATTCAACAAATTTGTAGCTGATGTCAACTTTTAAAAAAAATGATGTATAGGTTAAAGAGTTACTCAATTTTTCTGATAACAACGATGGCTCAACCATCATATGTAAAAACTACATGATTTACAAGAAAAATGAAAATAACCGGAAAGAATTTAAGGATTCTAAACAATTTCAATAATCACTCATCACATTTATAAGGTTAGAAACATAATGTTTATGAGAACTATATTTGATATTAATGTTTCAAGTGAACTGGTTTATCGTCAGCTTTCACATTTGTGCTTTGTTTTTCGCTCCGTACTCTGTATATTCATAAATCACTAATCCACTTTATAAGCGCCTATTGATCGCCTGCATTGTTTTCGTATATTTATTCGCTTGTGGGGCGTTGTCATAAGGTTTCTTCCCTCATATAAACAGTAGTATTATAGTTATTTCCTATAATTCTAGTTGACTGTTGAATGTTTTACACTTATTATTGCGTATTTAAAGTTCTACCGCGACACAACAGTTTTCTTTTCACCCTTTTTTTATGAAATAGGTAAATTTAGTCTAGCACAAGATGAAACATTTATCAACTACAATCTGATTTGAAATGATATTTATTGCTGTTATGTATTGTTTATGATAATGGAATGTAATTGATTAAAATACCATTAGTGTCATAACATCCAAATCAAGTTGTTTTTTACCTCCTTATTCCGTTAAACAAGAGAAAGAAATAGGATGTGGCAGTTATCAGTGGAAAAAAATCCACCAAACATTAATCATGATGAATTTATTCTTCTTTTCTAAAAATACACCAATTCTTGTTCTTACATCAAAAAGTGAAATTATCTACGTAAGTATGCATTTACAAATGTACAATATAGCAGTTCAGAGTTTCTGCATTTTACAGATTTAGTGTACTACACACTATTGGATCGCAAACCCTTTTGTTTCTAGTATTTACAGTCTATTACAATCTAAGAACTTTGAATCTCAAAAATTGAATGATACCTAAATCAGAATCTATCTTATGTAAACTTTAATATTGAAAAAAAACATACTATTCCTTCTGCCTTTTATACTTATTTATTAATAACAATAAGCAAACACTGTAAGTTATACTGAGTTTTAACACCTTGAATAATGTGCATTACAAAATTGTAAATAGGAAGTTGAAAGAATATTTTCAAACCATCTACAAAACTGATACTGTGATAATAATTGAAGGTAAAGTGAAAAGCTAAGCTTGAACTTGAATATGAACGAGTGATCTTCAGACTGCTGACCTTAGCAATCCTTCACCATAACCTTATAACCCAGGTTTTGGCAAGGTCTCATTATTGTTTCGGTGGTTTAATGTTGCGTTCAACTGCCTTGTGAATAAAATTCCTCTAATACATCAGCTCATGTTAAAAAATTTTTTGCTTTGCACTTAGCATATCAACACTTAATTTTATCTATATTTATAATCAGTCTTTGTCACTGATCCCATATATATATATATATATATATATATATATATATATATATATATATATATATAAAGAGAATGGGAGGCAGACATTAAAAGAATGAATACCAACTGAAAAAAGCTTGAAACGAGAGCCCAGGACAGAGTTTGTTGCAGAATCGTGGTGGACAACCTATGCTCCTCCACGAGATTTAACAGTCGTAATTGAAGTCAGTAAATCGTAAACCATGTGCGTACATACATGCATACAAGTGCATATACTTTTATCTCTTTACTCATTTCGTGCAAGAAAATATAACAACTTACTGAACTAGTTTGTTCCATTAGTTCCGATGTTGTAACTGTACTACCGAATAAACAATAACGTGGCATTTTTACACCTACAACACCAGCAACGGCTGGACCTGAATGTACACCTAAATACATAAATAGACGAATATTTTTTTGAAAATAAAAACTACCAGAAGGGATTTTGTTGAGATTTTAGAAATTTCAATAGTTGAAACCATGAGTTAATTGAAGCTAGATCACCATGGAAAACCTGGAAGCACTGGATAGCCATTTCGTCCCAGCATGAGACTCCTCAGTAGTGCGCATCCACGATCATGTCCCCCGCGAGATTCGAACCCAGGACCTATCAGTCATTTCCTGGAGTTCTAGTGAGAAGCCGTTGCCAGTGGAGTTCAACCAGGTCTGTTGTGAGATATCAACTCACTGAAGACAATGGTGTGTGGTGACGCAACTTCGTAGATTGTCAATACCGTTGGATGCCGGTCGGCTCAGTGGTTTAATGGTTAAGTGATCGCGCGCGAGACTGATAGGTCCTGGGTTCGAATGTCGCGGGAGGCGGGATCGTGGGTGCGCACTGCTGAGTGGTCCCGTACTAGGACGAAACGGCCATCCAGTGCTTCCAGGTTTTCCATGCTGATCTAGCTTCAATTGACTCATGATTTCAACTACTGAAGAACAATACCATTGGAAAAACATGAAATATATAAATCATTCTCTACTTTATTAACTGATGAATTTCTAAAATGATAAATGAATGTTGCCTTATCAAAAGTTAACTGTTCTTTTTTTATTATTATTTTGTATTCAAATTAATCAACGTCTTATTGTATGTCAATACAAGCATGAGTGCTCTGTCAAGGTATAAAAAGGAATGAATTATCCGTTGAGCTTATAATCATTACCGACTATGGTATAATTAAGGCTAGTTTAACTACATGATATATATATATATATATATATATCTTGGTCCTATGTTCCTCTTCGTCCCATGGTAAATAGGACTAACCATATCAACAGACACAGCTTTTTTATATCCTTTGATTAAGTGAATCCAGTGACCTACATCAAACGATCTAGAGAGAAATTGATAATTTACATAGCAGAACGACTTCAGCACCACCTGAGGAGTCCCATATTAGAGAAAAACAATTGTTCATTGATCATTATCTTCCATTGATGATCTAAACAATCATCGAATAAATTTTAAAGCAAATTTTATCTTCAATTTTCGCAGATTGGTCAAATAGAATAAACATAATTTAATAATTGAATTAGTTTGTACGTCACATCAAACTATGACGCCTAATATTGTTAGTTTGAACAGAATAGTATAACATAGAAATTACAGATCATATAACACTTTAACAATGTTGAAAACTTAAAATCGTGAAGTATGACATCATTGAATTTCATTTAAATGCATGATCATGCATATTGGAATAAAGATCTTTGTAGAAACGAAACTTTAAGCAAGATTGAAGATTGTATGAAATCTATTTTTCTCAGTAAATGAAGTGAAACAAATAAAGCAAAGAAAATACACGTCAATGTTTCCCATATAATTTAAATTTTAATAATACTATACAACAACCGGAGTGAAATCTTCGATATTCTATGTTTCTTGCGATATTTTAAGATTGCTAAAAATCTCGATGACGGTATTGTTACTTATGCAATGACAATTAATTGTCAGAGCGAAATATTTAGGTTCCTTTCTAGGACTGATGAGTAATTTAAGTGCTTTACTACTATATGGTAGATTTTCAATTCCCATTGAATTCAGATTTTTACATTCACATCTTAAATCCTGGCAAATATGATCCTGAAGGAAGTTCCTGTTAAACCACAATTAAAGATCAAAGACTAGTTGGTATGGAACATTGGATTCAAATGACAATGTTTTATTATAGAATATAATCAAAATGATATGCTTACTGTCATTATCGTTATGTAGCTCATTCTTTATTTGAAGCAAGAAAATTATTTAGAAATCGATCTTATTCATGTCATATAACACCTACATATTGTCGAATCTGTATTGAAAATAATACGAAACAATCGTATATACATGGAGGTTTTGCAAATCTCTGAAGTCTATCCAATATGATGAGAATTGGTTGGTTAAATCTATGCTATCTTCAAAAGAATTTTTTAATTTTACTAGATATTGTACAGTATGGATCATTTGTATTAAAACATAATTAATATGAACGAAGAATAGTCTTTTCAATGAATTTCTCATTAGGTTCTACAATTACAAATCCAAATTAATAATCCATAAAATTGGCCAGATTTAAGGCAGAGTACATCATTTGGAAATTGTAATATATGAATCGAGAATTGTTGTTTGTCATATCAAATCAAATCAAGTCGTTCATCTTGGGGCTGATTAATATGAAGTGTTAACTTGAATCAGTTTATAAGTAAAATGAAATTGTGAGATAAATAATCATCAGAATAAATATGGTCAACATGGGGTGAGAGAGAAAATAATGGAATAGAAATCAGAAATTACGTAATATGTAGAATAACATGAATTAGGTCAGATATAGTAGATAAGGGTTGGATGCTGAATAAATATCTCAAAACAGTTATCAAGTGTAATAGTAATAACAATGATAAAGATAATAATAATAATAATGGTAAGATAAGTTTGGTACATTAAAATGAACATTGATCAAATTACATCACCATATTATAAAATTGATTATTAACTAGTTGGCCAGGGTAAAAAGGAGCGGCTGAACATATTTCTTTTGGATGCAAAGCTCTGACTTTTTGATCCGAATAGCAATTGCTTCAGCTGTCTATAGGATTCTTAGTCTGACTGAATTAGGTAGACTGCTGTTAACACAATATATTATTGTGAAAGATTGCTCCATGTTGGCTGTATATCCCATCTGAATTAAATGGATCAAAATGGAGCTGTTAACCGTTTTGACTACACCTCTCCTTAACCACACTGGGAGGTGCTCACGAGCCGAACACATTTCCTAGAACATCTGCCAATCTATCCTACATCTTACGTAATTTCTGATTTCTATTCCATTATTTTCTCTCTCACCCCATGTTGACCATATTTATTCTGATGATTATTTATCTCACAATTTCATTTTACTTATAAACTGATTCAAGTTAACACTTCATATTAATCAGCCCCAAGATGAACGACTTGATTTGATTTGATATGACAAACAACAATTCTCGATTCATATATTACAATTTCCAAATGATGTACTCTGCCTTAAATCTGGCCAATTTTATGGATTATTAATTTGGATTTGTAATTGTAGAACCTGATGAGAAATTATTGAAAAGAATTTTCTTCGTTCCTTTGCATTAATTAATTTTACAACAGAATCTGTTAAGCAAACACAGATTATGATTACGTTTCGTCCCACTTAGGGCTCATCAACTGGGCATATATAAATGTTCAGATTATGACTTGAACTCATTATATTTTGATTGCAACATTCAACTCAGTATCCATTGAGCTTTTAAGTTCAGATACCCATTAACGTACTTAACTGGTATAGTTTCTATATCAATATTAATAAGAATTTTTAAATGATCCACTAATGATATTTAGGACGGAATCTTAACCATCGTTTAATATTGTTGTATAATGACACTTCGTAAACTAATAAGCTCGTAGAAATAACTTACCTAGATTCAAATGAACAGAAAGCTTATTCAATGTAAAAAGTCTACATGGAATATGTATTTGTAAATGGAAAGAGGTTAAAGAATAAAATGTATAATTTTCAGTTTCAGTTTAATGAAACTACCCTGGTAACCAGTGAAAAAAATCCAAATTAATTAGTGAAACACACACACATACAAAAGCTTATTTTTATAGCTTCCTTGTTGTTCCTACGTTCTTTCTTTCTTGTTATTGTTTATGCAGTTGTTGTTCATTCCGTTTATTTTGTTAAATATCTTTCAAATTGTATATTATGTTATTTATTCTTTCATTCATTAAGTGATCATAAAGAAATTCAGTACCATTTAGTATATATTATTTTATCCTAACAATCTACTTTTTTTCAAGTGAATACAGTAATTTATAGAGATTTCTTTTTTGTTGTAATGATGTCGTTTAGTTATTCAAATGTACCAATGATCACTACACACTATCAAAAACTGATAATTGTCAGTAAGACATGAAAGTTGTTGAACTTCATTGAAATGATGAACTGATTTAAGTTAGATCAATAGTAGGCTTACTAGTGACTAGATTTGAGAGGAAAGTTTCATAGTTATAGTAATAAGCTGTGGCCAGGGAAGTCAATCCGTGTTGGGTGTGAGGCGGTTACCTACCAAGGACAATGAAAGATGGTTGCGCAATGTCGTGGATTGATTGAAGCTAGACACTAACATCATTAGATACCAACTCATTACCGTGGAGATTAAGCGTTTGAGCACAAAACTGAAGGTCCTGTGTTTGATTCTCCCGTACGGAGTCATGGTATAGTGACTCACGTGCAATTGAGTTTATTCTCATTTAACTCAGTTAAGCCCTTTTGCTAACTCATTTAGCGGACAAAGTCATCCGCACTATAACAACTTATTGTACCCTTATTATTTTGTGCTTGTATGAAATACGTATGCTTGAACATTGATTACGGCCTACGCATTTATTCACTCTTCTAGTCTTACTACTAACTGCTTATTTGATTCGATTACTCATTCATTTCACATGGTATATATATGTCCATGTTATTCATATTCAACACACACATACTCTCGTCTCACTCCTGCTCTGGCTCTCGCTCGCTTGCTCGCCTTTCGGCACAACTCTTCTATGCTTGTTTAACGCATCTGTACATTTGGATATATGTGTGTGGTCTCGCAATAAACGTAATCAACACTCCGTATTTGCCTTCTGATTAATATACCGTTGGGACGTTATATAGAACGGTTATCAAGACGAGCTGTATACGAAGTTTAAGGATTATATCGAATACCGACCACCACAATGGATGTCCACTGCTGAGGAACCCCATATATGGATGAAACGGCCGTCCAGTGATTTTTGATTTCCATTGGGAGTCTTACTTAGATCAGATCATGATTACAATAGAAAGTCGATAAGTCAAATCAAATAATAATTTCGGCCAATTATTTAATAACATTGTATTATATGCTGGTTATATTTCCTATTTTATTTAAGAAATTCAAAACAACTAGAGTGAACTATTTGATGTTATTATTTACATTTGAATTATGAAAAGTATATTTATTATGAATTTATTTAAGTGATTCTATTGTAACTGCATTGACGAAAGATTTTGACCACCATTGTTAACTAGACAATGCGAAATTATTTACTACTAAGCAATCAGTTAGTAAGTATGTCTTATCTACACAAGATACTAAAAACTAGCCGAATGGTACTGTGATAAAATCACTGAATTGAACATTAAGGGGAATGAACTTGATGCTAATAGACACACCATTTCTGACGGATTTCAACTAGTAATAGATATATGAGATATAATACCTTCTATAAAATCCCTCCAACCGTATAATAAATAAGTCTGTTAATTCAATGGTAAATACTATTACATTTTTGCATTCTAGGATACAAAATTGTACAAATGGTACAATGGTTACATTTTTCTATCGATCATTGTAACAATAAATCTGAACGGTAAAAAAACAGAACCATCATTAATAAAAATTGATTTTCTTTCGCTAATTAAAAATCAAATTGTTTGAGAAAAAAACGGTGAAAGACAATCTAGTTATTTGACTTACCAACACGTATTCGTAAACTTTCTGGTGGTTCCTTAGATTCATCTTTAACTGTTTGAACTGATTCAACCATATCGAGTGCCATCTCAGCAATAAATGGAGCATGATAATCTGTACGTGATGGGCATCCTGATGCTATCATGTAAGCGTCACCGATTGTTTCAACCTAATTTTAGGAAATGATCATTCACTTAATAAATAATATCAAGACAGGTGGTTTTTTTAGTACATTTGTATGTGAATCACGAGCTGTTGTTTGCTACTCCCAGTAAAAATCACATGTCAGGAGGATTTCTCAGACCTCTTGTTGGAAGCTAAGACTTATGAAGTAAGACAGTAACTCATTAAAATATTGCTTGACAATCAATCCATACTACAAATTAATTAAGATTAAGAATGTAGATCACTCTTTCCATTTCATTGAATCGATAATATAATAGTGACTGGAAGAACTGACATTTCTCTTTATTGAAACAAATGTTTAACATTACCATAGATTGTTAAACTAGTATTGAATATTTATTTTACTAATCACCTCTTAATACTTACAAAGTAGATTTCAGTCCAGAACCAAAATGTTTTTCAAGGGAAGTCTAACAGATAGCTTGAATATCTTAATAAGAATTATAACTAAAAACATATTTATCCCTCTTACTACAAAACCATCACCAACTGAGTTTTCCTACATACCTATACAAATAGTTCAGTGTTCAAATGATATTGCCTTCACAGACTAACTGAAAACCAATCAGCTGTTTAAATTCTTATCGTGATACTTATTCAAACGTGAACATCGATAATAAACATTTCACTGATAAACTAATTGTTATCTTCAAGAACATTACAAGAAATAACTATGTAAGTATCACACAACATCATGCTTTCTAGTTTACATTTTATTCATTAACTAAGTAATTAATTATCAGAATGGGGTTTTGTGGAGATTTTAGAAATTTCACTGGTTGAAATTCTAAGTCAATTGAAGCTAGACCACCATGAAAAACCTGGAAGCACTGGACGGCCGTCTCGTCCCAATATGAGACTCCTCAGAAGTGCTAGTGAGAAGCCATGACCAGTGGAGTTCAACCAGGTCTGTTGTGAGAAATCAACTCTCTGAAGACAATGGTGTATGGTGGCGCAACTTTGTAGATTGGTTGAAGTAAGACATTAAAATCGCTGGATGCCGGTCGGCTCAGTGGTCTAATAGCTAAGTGATCGCGCGCGAGACTGATAGGTCCTGAATTCTAATCTCGCGGGGGTCGGGATCGTGGATGCACACTACTGAGGAGTCCCACAGTGGGAGGAAACGGCGGTGCAGTGCTTGCAGGTTTTCCATGGTGGTCTAGCTTCAATTGACTCATGATTTCAACCAGTAAGTAATTAATTGTTCATAAATACTTTCAATTATCATAAATGTATATATATATATATATATATATATTATATATATATATATTATATATATATATAAACTTCAATTTGTAGTCAATAGAAAGGAAATAAACAATATCACACAATCTAAGCTAATCATTATAGTCTGATAGAAAATCACGTGAAAGATAGTGAAAACTATATTCAACGTAGACAATATAAGTCATTCACTAAAATATGTATATTTTCATATACACTAATCATAAATGTCAATTTCTATTGAAATCATCTAATAACAACTGATGAACACTAAAAAAAGAGAAAAAAGATGCTTTTCAAAATATAAAGTAGTTTTAATGGTTTTCTTAAAGAAGAGAAAAAATAATTCACTTTCTTTACTTTACATCTCTTAATGTTAAAATAATAATAACTAACAGATTGTATATTTCATATAATTTGACTGATTTTTGTAGGTATCCATTATTAAGGTTTGATTTGATAATTTTGAATAAACTGAGCATTGGATAGATTGTTATTAATTAATTAATATATTTATAATATCCTAATGAGTAGAAAAATTAGATTTTCTCACGTTTTGTAACTCAGTGTAAGTCACTTCTTCAGGGAATAAATAACTAGATCAAAATTGATTCAAGTTTAAATAGTACAACGAAACAACAAGAATGTTATGCGAGTAGGACTTCCCTAGCCTCTGTCAGTGAAAGTCCTACTCACTGCGTTCTAGTGTCGAGGGTGTTGTTTGCGCAATTGAGAGGACGAAAAACGAATGTCCGGTGCTTTAACCGGGTTGGTGGACATGGAGAGTTCACCTAGGAGAGTTGGAAAACCCTCATTTCAAACCAATGGTACACATGGGCTCCAGTATCCTGAAGGAACAAATGGCGTATGAACCAATCGTTGGTCACCGGCTACCATGGAATTGCATCTCCTTACGTTGCTCCACTGCCTTGTGGATCAGACCTTTATGTCGAAGGCTCCGGGTGTGACCCCCATAAGGAAACCACCTGCTTCGGTTTGGGCACCCGGGCAGTATCATAGCTCTCACACATATCAAATGAGATTTGTGTGGCGCATATGTATCTGGTGCCTTCTTGTACCAATATCTATGTGTTGAAATAAATAAAATAATACAACATTACCCCTATTATGTAATATTGTTTTCTTAACAAATAAATAACTCACTGATGACAGTGGTGGATGTGTCGCTCAATTTCGTGAATTAGTTGAAGTTAGACATTAACATCGTTGAATGCCGGTCGGTTCAGTGGTCTAGTGGTCAAGCGCTCACCCGCGAGACCGATAGGTCCTGAGTCCGAATCTCATGGGGGGTGGGATCGTGACTGCGCACTGCTGGGGAGTCCCACAATAGTACGAAACGGCCGTGCAGTTTTTCCAGGTTTTCCATGTTGGTCTATCTTCAATTGACTTATGATCTTAACTATTGAAATTATCACAATCTCCACAAAACCCCTTCTGATAAATATGCATGGATCCTAATTGTGTTTAATCAATACATTTTGTGTCTTATTCTTTCATTATGACTTTTAATTCTGTTTCAAACATCTATTTCAATTCTACTAAATTATATCAGATCTTTGTAATTTTTGATTGAATAACTCCTTGTAAATTTAAACTGTTTAATAGCTAATGTAAAGCTTTGAAATAGAATGAATTTATTCTATTCAATAAATCCTGTTACAGTGTTAAGAATTTAATAATCAATCAGATTATAAATAAATCACATCCCAAGTAATTTCCTAATGAGTAGAAAAATTAGATTTTCTGACGTTTCATAACTTAGTGTAAGCCATTTCTTTAGAGAATAAATAACCAAATCAAAATTCATTCAAGTTTGAATAGTACAACGGAACAACAAGAATATTATATGATCAGATCTATTTATTTATTTATTTATTATTTATTTTAATTTTAACATATAAATATTGGTACAAGAAGGCACCAGATACATATGTGCCACACAAATTTCATTTGATATATGTGAGAGCTATGATACTGCCCGGGTGCCCAAACCGAAGCAGGTGGTTTCCTTATGGGGGTCACACCCGGAGCCTTCGACATAAAGGTCTGATCCACAAGGCAGTGGAGCAACGTAAGGAGATGCAATTCCATGGTAGCCGGTGACCAACGATTGGTTCATACGCCATTTGTTCCTTCAGGATACTGGAGCCCATGTGTACCATTGGTTTGAAATGAGGGTTTTCCAACTCTCCTAGGTGAACTCTCCATGTCCACCAACCCGGTTAAAGCACCGGACATTCGTTTTTCGTCCTCTCAATTGCGCAAACAACACCCTCGACACTAGAACGCAGTGAGTAGGACTTCCTCGAAAGAGGCTATATACGCGTGGCCATGTGAGAGCATTTCGAGAGGAAGAACGGACTCTCCCCACTCTCGGCCGTACCAGGGCATTTGAGGGAGCGTTGTTGTAATTTTAATGTTGTAATTCCTAATAGTGACTATGATGAAAAAAATCACTACGTATTTGTAGTGAAAATGTTACCAATAAAACGGGTTTATAATAGATGAAAATAAGCTAGAAACAAAATCAAGTCAATAACTGAACATCAATAAATTTATGGTTGAAATAAAACTTTAAGTGATTTCAATCATTATCCTCATGATAAAAAAAGAATGGTTTTTCTCGTTTCTCTTCCGTATACATAGATCAAGTCGGCAATGTTTGTTATAGTTTGTTATTCCCTATGTAAAATGAAGTAAAATTGGCAATAACTGCTTGTCAATTATTTTGAATCTTTTACAGATGTTCGTATTCTGTCTATTAATCATCTATCAAGTGCCTGGTGATTTCATGTTTGAAAAATTTACTACCCTTCCAACAAACATTCCTATGTTTGTTTTTTTTTAACGGAATTCTTACAAAATATCTTTTTAGTAATATTTCCTTATTCCGATGTTGCTTTCTCTTATATCTGATAAAAAATAGTATGAGGATATAAGCTTTTTTACTGATAGACGAACAGTGCTACATTTTATAAGACAAAATTCACTCTAAAAAATACACTAAATGGATAATTAAAAAACTTAAAGTGTACAAGACATAAGATAGTGACGTTAGGTGGCTGACAGTAGTTAAGAGAGAAATCAGCCTAATTTAGTTTTCCTGCTATTTGGCACTAATCAACAGGACGTACCCGTAATCTTGAAAGAACTAATTCTCACTGTGAGATCTGAATCCTCGTCACTCAACTTCACAGTCAAAGATGTTACTCCTCAGCTATCTGGACACTGATCGATCTTTTGTAAAACTGAGATTTATCTACAATTGACTGATCACTGAATAGACACTAATGTCATGTTCATTTATTTCTCTAAGTAGTGAATCAAAATTTTCTAGTATGAACAGTTCTCAAACGTCCCTTGAGTTCATCAATTCATAAAACAATTAAAAGATAATTAATTCAAGTTTCCTGTTTATCTTTATTTCATCTTTTTAGATAATTAATACCAAATAATTTTTTATTATTATATGATTTCTCAATTTGGATACATTTACCCATAAACTTGAGGTTTCAAAATGATTTTATTTGACCATTATACTGGATTATTTTAGGTCTGAAAGTTCTTTTATTTTCAGTTAACCCAAAGTAATTTATTGTTATCATCCCTTAATATTCCATTAATTGCAGAAACGGATATTTTTGAACTGTATAGCTTATTATAAGTTTAGATACTAACATTTAGTAAGAACTAATTTCACAATAATTCATTGATGAAAACCACAGGATAACATTAGTGCATTCAAAATATAAAAATACTCATCTATAAAACTTCATGTCTCTTTAATCTAAATGAGTTCCATTGTTTTATATTACAAAATATTCGTAAAACAAGTACAGTTTCTAAGTACCACTTAACTTACTATAAATAATCCAATGACTTATCATAAGAACCTCTTTAAAATTTATTATTGATTACTACGTGTAAACATATCGATAAGTGAGTTACCATAGTTTCTTCATTGAATTCAAAAAAACTAGTTATCAATAGATAGCTAGATGTTTTTGTTATAGTTTGAGACGTTTTTCAAAAGTACGAGATTTAATCAAAGAATTTCAGTCAATACATAATATGATTTGTTGTGATTAGTATGTAAGTAAAGCTGAAAATCCCAAACTAGAAAAAAGATATAACTGTTTAATGTTCTTTAGTTTTCAATAGTTTACTGGGATAACAATAAGTTGTCTAGCTTCAATTGACTCATGATCTCAAGTGTTGAAATTACTACAATCTCCACAAAACCCCTCTGATACTAATCAACATATGCTCACAAGTGACGGTCTCCAATACGTATTTCCTGGAGTTCTAGTGAGAAGCAGTGACCAATGGAGTTCAACCGGGTCAGTTGTGAGGTAGTAACTCACTGATAACAATGGTGGATGTGTCGCTCAATTTCGTGGATTAGTTGGAGTTAGATATTAACACCGTTGGATGCCGGTCGGTTCAGTGGTCTAGTTGGTTAAGCACCAGGTGCGAGACTGATCGGTCCTGGGTTCGAATCCAGCGAGGCGTGATCGTGAGTGCGCACTGCTGAGGAGTCCCAAAATCAAAACGAAACGGCCTTGAAGTGCTTCCAGGTTTTCCATGGTGGTCTAGCTTCAACTGACTCATGGTCTCAACTGTTGAAATTACTACAATCTCCACAAAATCCCTTCTGATATTAATCTTTAGACACATATAATTTATTAATTACTTAAGTAAAAATTGCAATGAACATAAAATTTGACATTAATCTAATTAAAAGTGTCTATTTTAATGTTTATCCTGTTACATAAAGCACTAATACCTAATCGATTCTTTGTATTCTATTTGAACACTTATCAATAGGTAATCATAGGAATTAGATACCATAGTATTAGGTTGATGATTCAATTCAATGCCTAACTATAAATTTATTTATATGAATTCGAGTTATATTGATAGTGTAAAGGTTATATTTACAACTCAGCTAGTTAAACCTACACTACACAACCCAAAAGTCAAATTTTAAAACAGTCAACATATTTGAAAACTAAAGATAAAAACCATCTGAACGTTTAACTCTGCAAGTCATGGCTCCTTTTTACAACAATTCATGTATATTAGATGGTGGTTGTTGATAGTCGACAGGAAACCCTGGGCCCGGGTTTCGTGCTACTTGGCACTCGTCAGCGAAGTGTACCTGTAATCTTAAGGGAACTGGTGCTCCCTGACGGATTCTATCCCGTGTCACCCAGCTTCACAGTCAGAGACGTTACCACCGAGCTATCCGAGCCGCGACCAACCTCCTGTAGGACTGAGATGTAATCACAGTGGTAACGTCTCTGTCTGTGAAGCTGGGTGACACGAGATTGAATCCGCCAGGGAGCACAGTTCCCTCAAGATTACAGGTATATCTGCTGACGAGTGTCAGTACACGAAACCCGGGCCCAGAGTTTCCTGTCGACTACCTCCACCATCCAATCTCAATATATAGTGCACTCAGTGTCGAGTCACCTAGACTGGGGCCACATTGCAACATGGTCGATAGCATTCGATCTGACTGATAATGACTAGACACGCAATCAATGTGATTCATGTATTCAGCTCAATGTTAAGCCTGAATTAAATTCATCTGAACATGAACGTTATACAAGTTATTAGAAAACTGTATGATATCGAATTTATTAAGTTCAACCACATTGGAAATCTTAACAACAGCCATCAAGATATCATGCGACGACACAGAACAATGAAGAAACACCCTAGAAAAAAACCAAGATTTCAAAACCATCCACGGAAGAAACACAAACAACTGGTGATCAACCTGTCAAAGCAATCACTAACAAACATAGGACAACACCTGCTCCTAAAAGGATTAAATCACAATACAAGTGACGCCTTAAAACTGCCAGGATAAGTGAAGAAACTCAACAGGAAATAAAATAAAACCATAGTATTTCTTACTCAACGGAAGAAAGACAATATCCAACTGACTTCACAAGAACAAAAAGTTTTAAAGAAACTCAAAACTATTGTTATAGTTCCAGCGCAAAAAAATTCACTATTTCATCAGTCTTTATAAATCAAAACTATCTCCTAGAGTTATTATTTATAAAATAAAATAATTCTCATCTTACCTTATAAACTTTATGTTTTTCTGTAAGTCCATCGAATACTGAATAAAGTTTATTAAGTAGACCTACAACTTCCAATGGTGCAAGACCACTGCATATTGTTGTAAATCCTACTACATCACTTAATAACAGGGTGACATTATCGAATGTCTACATTACAAAGAAAGAAAAACAGACGAAATAATTAAAAAAATAAACAATCCCAATGAAACATTTACAAATTTTATTTGGAGAAAAGAAGCAAAATTAAAACAATCCTAATTATATAAAATCAAAACATCAAGCTGTAAATACTCCCGTAATTGTGAATAAAGTTTTATTCATGAACATTCAATTCAAGAGGGATATAGCTATTGAGATACTAAAGAACAGATTTCTGAGAAAGATGTTTTATTCAGCAATGCTCCAATTTGTTTTCTCCAGTAAATACCTTATTCAAGGAAGTATTATGAATTAACTAACATTTTGGACCCTCTCATTTTACATTTACAAATTCACTTGCTTTTATGAAACTGATGCAAAGAGTGCACTTAGTAAACAAATATTCGTTCATTACTCTGAATAGAAATCTAATGGAGAATAAATTAGACCATAATAAACGCATTATGATTTCAAAAGTCACATGATATCACAAAAATTCTCAGTGAAATCCTTTTCCCAGATTTAAGCAATTAAACCACATGCTATAAAAAGTACACCATGTGGTCTACCCAATCTGGATATTTTAATTTTTACATCTGTTCGGAATCGTTAAATAATCATCAATTAAATTTATTGCCTAAAATATATGAAGGGATTTTGTGGAGATTCGTTAGAAATTTCAATAGTTGAGACCATAAGTCAACTGAAGATAGACCAACATGAAAAGCCTGGAAAAACTGCACGGGCGTTTCGTACTATTGTGGTACTACCCAGCAGTGCGCATCCACGATCCCACCCCCGCGAGATTCGAACCCAGGACCGATCAGTCTCGCGTGTGAGCCCTTGACCACTAGACCACTGAACCGACCGGCATCCAATGGTGTTAATATCTAACTTCAACTAATTCACGAATTTGAGCGACACATCCACCATTGTCATCAGTAAGTTACAATCTCACAACAGACCTGACTGAACTCCACTAGTCACTGCGCACTGTTGAGGAATCCCTCAATAGGACGAAACGGCCATCCAGTGCTTTCAGATTTTCCATGGTGGTCTAGCTCCAACTGATTCATGATCTCAAACATCAAAACGTATTATCATGAAAGTACATCAATCTTGGAAGTCTTGAACAGAACAAAGATAATGTTTTCAATGTGGACACTAATAATTCGTACTATTCGCAAGCATATGCTATGTAACAAATTATTATCTTATATTCCATTAAAATAGTTAAAAACCCTCATACTTTGTTACTATCTTTATAATTTTGAAGTTACTATACACTATATATTTGTCATCTATCTTACTCTAAATGACACTCATTTACAGATACTACTTAAATTATAAAGACTGATCACGTCTGATAAATTAATGCTAAATTCTGAAATCAAATATGGAAAACGCTCCGGAAGTGAATTACTTATTTGTTTTTATTTGTCAACAAAGTATACGTAAAACCTTAAATAAGTAGATATCTTTTTGAGGATTCGGACTACATACCACTCATTATTACAAACACGGTTATAATTTCTGGCTAGCCGTTTCAATTCATCTTGCCTACTATTTGTAACTACGTAACATTTGATGTTTGTCAAAGTACATACAAATTTATCGTCTATGGAATAGAAACCATGTTCATATGAATCAAGTTTGATTTCTTTATTCAAATAAAATCCGAAGTCATTGAACTGAGATGTCAAACTGTTTAGCTTCATAGATACATTGCAAATTTTACAGGTAGAATTGACTTGATATTTGAGTCATGATAACATGATATGATAAACTGATTACCAGGGAGTATTCGGTCGCTGTTTTTCTTAATTTGTGACTTTCAAGAAGTATAAACTTACTACCTCACATGAAACTGAACATGGAACCTTCAGGTATCTTGATAACAATTACACTATTAAGTTTAAATCTAATAGTGCTCATTTAATATTTCAATTAATTCGTAATATAGAGCTAACTTTCAATTTACAGCCAACAACTCAACTGTATAACCTACATCATGATGAATGAATATTCTTAGTTAGATCCATGTGTGTTGCTAAAATATTCCAACTTAGGAAGAAATAGCTATTCAGTACTCCTAGATTTTCAATAATTCAACAGATGATGTAAGTTTATGGTGAAAATTAACTCTGAACTCTATAGAATCAGGGAATAATAATTTCCTATGCTTAGAATGAACTCCGCCTGTAGCTCTAATAGGGTTACTGCCGGTCCCAAGCCCGGGTAAAGGAGGAGGGTTGGGCATGGGGTTAGCGTCCCCATCCCGTAGAAAACTAACTCGCTAAAAAAACGCTTACCAGAAAAAATTATTCAAACCATTTAAACTCTGCCCTGGGAGTTAGAAGGTCTTCAGTTAGAAGAATTATGACGCTTCATGGTGAAAGCCGAGTTCCTTCGGAAGCCACGAGGCCGATGCCCCTTCTAACAACCAGAGCAAAAATTTTTATAGGTACATGGAACGTTCGAACAATGTGGGAAACCGGGAAGACCAGTCAAATAGCAATGGAAATGAGGAGATACAACTTAGCAGTACTGGGAATCAGCGAAACCCACTGGACCCAAGCTGGACAGAAAAGGCTAGCTACGGGAGAGATGCTGCTATACTCCGGTCACGAGGAGGACAATGCTCCACACACTCAGGGAGTCGCTCTTATGCTGTCCAAAGTAGCACGAAATGCACTTGTAGGATGGGAGTCTCACGGATCCAGAATCATCAAAGCATCATTCAAAACAAAGAAGGAGGGGATCTTAATGAATATTATCCAATGTTATGCACCCACCAATGATAGCAACGACGACATTAAAGATCAGTTCTACGAGCGGCTACAGTCAATCATTGAGAAATGCCAAGAAAGGACCTAACTATTCTGATGGGAGATCTAAATGCCAAAGTCGGAATAGACAACACCGGATATGAAGATATCATGGGACGACATGGACTGGGACAGAGAAACGAAAATGGAGAAAGATTTGCAAATCTATGTGCATTCAACAAATTGGTCATAGGAGGCACAATATTTCCACACAAGCGTATACACAAGGCTACATGGATCTCACCGGACCACACTACAGAGAACCAAATAGATCATATTTGCATCAACAAAAAATTCCGAAGGACAATGGAAGATGTAAGAACCAGGAGAGGTGCTGACGTAGCTTCAGATCACCACCTAGTTGTAGCCAATTTAAAACTGAAGCTAAAAAAGAACTGGACAAGTGGACAAACAGCACTACAAAGGTTCAATACAGCCTTCCTTCGAGATACTGACAAGCTCAATGAATTCAAGATAGCTCTCAACAACAGGTTCCAAGCCTTACAAGATCTACTGAAAGAAGAAGAAACTAGTATGGAGGACAACTGGAAAGGCATCAAGGAAGCATTAACTTCAACGTGTCAAGAGGTTCTGGGCCTAAAGAAACACCATCATAAGGAATGGATCTCTATAGAAACACTGGACAAGATCAAAGAAAGGAAGAACAAGAAGGCAGCAATTAACAACAGCCGAACACGAGCAGAGAAAGTCAAGCACAAGCTGAATACATAGAAGCAAACAAACAAGTGAAGAGGTGCATTAGAGCCGACAAGAAGAAATACGTGGAAGAACTAGCAACGACGGCAGAAAAAGCTGCTAGAGAAGGAAATATGAAACAGCTTTACGATACAACGAAGAAACTAGCAGGGAAATACAGTAAACCAGAGAGGCCGGTCAAAGACAAAGAAGGCAAGCCAATCACCGAAATTCAACATCAGCGTAACAGATGGGTGGAATACTTCGAGGAACTCCTGAATAGGCCGGCTCCAATGAATCCACCGGACATCGAAGCAGCACACATAGATCTTCCTATAGATGTCAACCCACCAACGACGGAAGAAATTAGAATGGCCGTCAGACAAATCAAGAACGGGAAAGCAGCAGGACCCGACAACATACCAGCTGAAGCACTGAAATCAGACATCGAAGCAACCACAAGCATGCTGTACCTTCTATTCAAAAAGATTTGGGAGGAGGAACAAGTGCCAATGGACTGGAAAGAAGGACACCTCGTCAAGATTCCAAAGAAAGGAGATCTGAGCAAATGTGAAAACTACAGAGGCATTACACTACTGTCAATACCAGGGAAAGTCTTCAACAGAGTGTTGCTGAACCGTATGAAGGATGCAGTAGACGCCCAACTTCGAGATCAACAAGCTGGATTCCGTAAGGATCGGTCGTGCACAGACCAAATTGCAACACTACGGATCATCGTCGAACAATCAGTGAGTGGAACTCATCACTATACATCAACTTCATTGATTATGAAAAGGCATTCGACAGTGTAGATAGGAGGACATTATGGAAACTTCTTCGACACTACGGAGTTCCTGAGAAGATTGTCAACATTATCCGGAACTCATACGACGGACTACAGTGCAAAGTAGTGCATGGAGGACAGCTGACAGATGCATTCCAAGTAAGGACTGGAGTCAGACAAGGCTGTTTACTCTCTCCCTTCCTCTTTCTTCTGGTGGTCGACTGGATTATGAAGACCTCGACATCTGAAGGAAAACACGGAATACAATGGACAACTCAGAATCAATTAGACGATTTGGACTTCGCAGACGACCTAGCCCTCCTATCACGTACACACGAACAGATGCAGATGAAGACAGCCAGTGTAGCAGCAGTCTCTGCATCAGTAGGCCTCAGCATACACAAAGGGAAAACCAAGGTCCTCAAATTCAAAGCGGAAAACAGCAATCCAATCACTCTTGATGGCGAAACTCTGGAAGATGTAGAGTCCTTCACATACCTAGGAAGCATCATCGATGAACAAGGAGGTTCAGATGCAGACGTAAAGGCGAGGATCGGCAAAGCAAGGGTCGCATTCCTACAATTGAAGAACATATGGAACTCAAAACAACTTTCAACCAATATCAAAGTGAGAATCTTCAATACGAACGTCAAGGCAGTTCTACTGTATGGAGCTGAAACTTGGAGAACTACAACAACCACCATCAAGAAAGTACAAGTATTTATAAATAGCTGCCTACGCAAGATACTCAACATCCACTGGCCGGATACCATCAGCAATAGCCTTCTGTGGGAGAGAACAAAGCAACTTCCAGCTGAAGAAGAAATTAGGAAAAGACGATGGAAATGGATAGGACATACATTACGCAAACCGTCAAACTGCATCACGAGGCAAGCCCTAACTTGGAACCCTGAAGGGAGGCGAAAAAGAGGAAGGCCAAAGAACACATTGCGTCGGATTATAGAAGCAGATATGAAAAGGATGAATTACAACTGGACGGAGCTAGAAAGGATTGCCCAGGACAGGGTTGGATGGAGAATGCTGGTGAGTGGCCTATGCTCCTTCACGAGGAGTAACAGGCGTAAGTAAGTAAGTAAGTAAGTTAGAATGAAGTCATTTATTCACTGAAAACTGAAAATCAAGATAATTATTTTAAAAAATGCTTAAAATAAAATGTGTTATATTTGTAATTGAACAAAGGTCAAATAGTAAATGTATATCAGACAAATAGTGATCTCGTAGATACATAAGAGTGATTTAGAAAGAAGTTTTTTACCTATCTGTGATTATTGATAGTGTTTGGAATTCCAGGAAACGATAATAAATAATGTTTCCGTTTACTAAAAACTAGTTTCATCTTAGGAAATTGAACCTAAAAGCTTATGAGGTTTTAATTAGATCACCATCATTCAATTTTTTTTGGCTTTAGAAGAGACAACGTTCAGTGAAGTGCTCTGGCGGGTCACTGTTGGTTGTAGTAGTTGCCGCCGACGAAACCAGTGGAACACGTGGCTGCTGGGCGGACATTGGATGTAGATAGCTAGATGGTTCACTGTAACGCAGGTGTTGAACGTCCCGGATGCTTGATGGAAATCAGATTTGAATGGCCTGGCAGGTCGACGGAGATACGAAAGCCAGCGCACTGGCGGACTAGACATTTTGACGAGAAGCGTGACACAGAGAGTACAACAACCATAGGAACGACTGTTTAAAGGGAGGACGAGTGTGGTGTATGCTACTTATGTTCGCAGATATGAGTAGTATGTAACACCTGTCGGAAGTGAAATGTCTGAGAGCAGAAGTTTGAGAAGATTGAAATGAAGAGAAGAGAGAAAAAACTGAAAGTAATCAAGATAACAACAAGAATGATGGAACAATGAAGCTTGTAAGAGACGATTCGAAGACGTTTAAATGATAAATTTAATATGCGATTTTTAAATTTCATTAAATCACTCTGTGATTGTGCGCTAAAAAATAAATTGGTTTCTTCAATTACTGAAAGCAATATCTGGATCATTCCATTTGTATTGTTTCATCAACACTCAAAACCTAGATTGAGTATTCATCAAGACACTCAGCGTGAACTGCCGAAAGAGCTTGTTATTATGTAAGATCAGCTATTTAGTAATATAAATGCAAATCAGTTTCAGAACCACATACTTCACAAGTATCTACTGCAGCTTCACCAGCTCTAAGCCTTTCAGCTACAGAACGTGGTATCATCTGATATAATAATTCGTCAGTCTTCTCATTTCTTCGTCTAATCTTCTTAAACTTTCTTCCAAACGTTTACTTTTTTCATTTTCCTATAAACAAAAAACAATTAAAGTGTTGTCCTTAAGTATCTGTATGGTATAAATCACACAAAACAAAGAATATGTATTATATTTATTTGTTAAACACTCAATAGTAGGATATACTTAACACTTAAAAACTTTCAGATCTCCGTATTTTAATAGATTAAAAATAGTTAATTTTAATTTTCATTAATAATTGAAATTACAGAGTGAGATAAAGTAAACAGTCTATGAATAAATTTGGTATCTGGATACCAGTGGAAATCGGGAGGCACCTTTCGTCCTGTTCAGGACTCATCGTTTGAATGTAACTATATACCAGTGTTAATATCCACGTTGAGACTCGAACTCAGACTGTTCACTCCAAACACCCACCGATAATTACATATCAAATATTTTAAAACTCACAAGTAAATGATGAAGTCTAGCCAATCCGCTCAGACTAAACGTATGACATCAGAGACTGGTCAATTTCGACCATAAATATCAACAACGGGAAATTAAAAATCCTTGGTAACAGCAAAATAGTACTAGACTATGATCTTATTCATAGCTGAAATATATATCAGTAGGAACTATAGCAGTAGTTCTAAACAAACTTTTTCATTTTTGATGTATAAAGAGCCTGATTTCGATAGTGAAATATATCAAGTATGAACATTCAGTAAAGAGTCACATGTTGTATGCTGAAAGCTGATTTGAACTTTTGTTAATGTTTCATAAAACAATTTGTTAATACGAATGAGTTATATCATCATATCTCCGATATATACTAATTTTTCAATTGATTGATGAAACGTATTCAACTTCTGTAATTAGAATTAAGATTACCATCCGTAATAAGACAGATAGATACAACACTAATTTGTTTAATTTTATTGATGACTTTCAAAGAGATTTGGCCTTTAGTTCAAATCATTCAGTTTACAGATTGTCATAACCTTGATGACTGATATTTTGGTAAAATATTGATAATGAATATGCTTTTAGATATCACCACCATAATAGTATAACTAATAGACATCGTATTAAAATGATTCATTTACTAAATACACATTTATGTTTACATGGTTACAGGTAACACTTGTCTGGGGTTAAAGCCAATGATACTATTCAGCTGACTAAAGTGAATTAAAGGAGTCAGGTTTCAAACTTGGGACTTGGCGGTGAAAATTAAGTATTTAACTATTGAACTACCAAAATAGCCAAACTACTAATAGTAAGGTTGCATAACAATTTTTAAAAAAAAAACAGAAATAAAATATTGTTTTTCCGAATAATCAACATAATACTTTTAAAAATGTTACTGTTCATTACAGTAAACAAATAAGTAGTATTTCTGATTTATGCAAATTACTAGGTAGATATAATTAGACCCATTTTATTGCTGGGCATTTCTGGTTTAACAGATATTTTCGCCTTTTATACAGACTAAGTGAAATTATTCAGCTAACAGTAATAATAGTAACAGTAGTAGTGTAGTGAACGAGAACAAAGGCTGTGACAACCATATGCAACATTACAGAATCTTTTAGTAAAATCTGAGGACTGTACAACTAATACTTCATTTGCAAAATACCCATCAGTTGTGTCAGACTTTGTTGTTCCTTCATTACCACACTAATCACACTTTGGTCTTGTTCTCTTCTCTTCGATTTTCTCAACCTTCTGCCTCCAGGCATTTCACTTTCGATGGTGATACGTACTACTTATATCTGTCGACATCAGTAACACACATCACAGTAGTAGTAGTAGTAGTAGTAGTAGTAGTAGTAGTAGTAGTAGTAGTAGTAGCAATTATATTCAAGCATTTATCAAAATGACATAATTTCGATTTACCTGTTCCAGTGCTAATTTCAGTTCAGCCGACTGTTGTTCACCAGCCAATACCATATCACGGCTAGAATCATGCATACTCAAATCATTTAAATATAAACCTAGTTCTAGCATTGAATCCACATCACGCATACTGTAAAACAGGAAAGGTGAAAGAAGAAGAGAATGATATTAACTTTAAAACAAACAAAGGAGTATATTTGTTTATTTTAAAAAAAAGTTATAACAGTTGCAATGAACAAATCCAACTACTTTAAAATCAAAACATTTTATCTTATTTATGTAGTATTGAAAAGTAAAACTTTCAAATGTAATATTTCCACTACACCAATGGAAATACCAAGTCAACTTAATGTGGTAGATATGTAGATAGATAGATAGAACAGCTCATAACTGATAGACATCAAAAGACTGACGAATTCGTTATTCCCACAATACTAAGTCACAAACTGATTGTACCTAGACCATCATTGAAAACCTGAGAAGCACTCATAGGTTGTTTTGTTTTACTATGGGACTCCCCAGAAGTGCACATCCACGTCTTAGACTGCAGAATTCGAAGCCATGACCTTCGATCTAGCAAAAATTCTGAATACTAATATTTATTCATTATTCTCTTCAACAACAGAAAAAAAATAGGAAACATGCTCACACAATTAATTTCACCCAATTTGTGTTTTTAACCAAAAATGAATATTGTATGTAATTGAAAAGTGCACATGACATAAATCTTCTTCCCTGTTACACTTAAAATGTACGTTTTGTTAATACTAAAACTTAACTAATCCACAACATCAGAAATATTAATTTTATGTACATATATTGTGTGTATACTTGTTATATTCTATAAATAAAATCAGTAAATATTCATAATGTTAACTATGTTTATCATCAAAATGAAAACAATATAATACCGAAGATGGATAGTGGTTAACAGTGGAATCTAGGACGCACGTTTCGTCTATTTAGGACTCGTCAGCTAATAAAGATTGATCCATTACAGTCCTAACCATCAATGAGAAGATTCAAGTAAACTATACGAAGTGAATATAATACAGAGTTTAATAGAATAATCTAACAGGTATTCATTTGAAAAGTAAATCAAAATACAATGAAAAACTGGGGAGAAAAAGTGAAAAAACGCACACACACACACAAAGAACAACGAAAATAAATAAATAAATATGAAATTCAATTTCTATGGTTTAATTAACAAATAAATAATCTTTTTATTTACTTGTTTACTTTAACCTTTATCATTCCCAGTAAACATTTTTCCCTTTTTCTAGCACATGACATTATCATAAACTTGTAGTATGTTATGAAACATAAATTTACTTTATATTAATGTAGAATGTGAAATAATGAGTTGAATTTTGTATTTTATATCGAAGAGAAAAAGTATGTTACGTAATATACTTACACTTAAAAAGAATCTAAGGTATATTGTTGAGATTATATAAGTTTGTTGCTAAGTGGATAATATGATGGGATTTGAAGTGAAAGTATGAGTTCTGGGGAGAACATCAACTCTGTGATGCATCTCCATCCAGCTAACGAGTTTCAAATAAGGTGAAAAGTATGTGCTGGATTCCACTCTTAGTCACTATTCATCTCTACCTATTATGCTTATGAATTAATGGCGATATCGAACCAATTTTTACAGGATATATAAGTGCCTAAAGAGACGGATCAACTGCAGACCTAAATATCAATGAGAAGATTCGAACAATCAAAACAAATGAAGAAATAGAAATAGTTTTTTAGAATAACTTAAAAATAGACAATCCAACTTAATCACATTTTATTATTATGTAACATATAGTAGATTCATGATATCTAGTCATGAATTTTCAACTTTGACAATATCGAATAAGACTAAGCTAGAATTCCTAAAGATCTATGCATATTTTATATAATTACCATCTAAAGAAATTGAAATGAATATTGTTTTATGTTATCACACTTATCCTAATAAACGAATCATCTTTCTATGTCACATAAATCTTTTCTTCATTTATTTGTCAGAGTGTTTACTAACTCGTCAATAATATTTAAAATTGAACTTGGAACTAGACTTTAGATTCGCATATATACATTTTGAGCAGATTGTCTCAATATTGCCAGCTGGACAACATATAGTCTTATGAATTGTTATATCCCGATAAGAATAATGGATGGTAATTTTTGGGATCCATTTATGGACCAATACTATGAGCATACTTTTTATCGTATAATTGTTATGTAACTAAACTTTCATATTCATGTCCCTCTTATTATAAGCTTTAATTTGATCCATAGATTATTACTATACGATTTACCATTCTTGAGTTATGGTGTGTCTATTAATTACTATCTCCTCATTCATAGCTACTTTTGGCCAAATATTTGCACAAATGTTATTTTCTATTTATGGTACGTTGTGGTCGGTTTGATTGGTATATAAACCGAGTATGTTTGAAATAAATGGAGATATGACTGACAAGCTTATTTCGTAAATAGTTTTTAATATTATTTGTATTTATTTTGTCAATCTTTCACTGTATGTATATTTATCATTAAATGACTGTACCTGTTGTTTTAGTAAATGACCTTGAACACACTTTCCGTTGTGATAATGACATAGCGTGACATACTGTTGCTGGCTAACAAATACACTGCTACTCACACATTCCTCGTTCTATCTTCGTTTGTGATAGAGTTAACTGAAGTCCAAATCAAATACTATCTACATTTATAGACCGTAATTGGAATATATCACATCCTATGTTGGATTATATCACTGGAGAGTTCGACAACCTGATTGGAATTATCAAGCATTTATAATTGTGGATTTACATTACTAGACTAAAGCTGAACACGCATCAATTTGGTGAACTTAAGTAAAGTCCCAATTCTTATTGTATTTGTAACAATTAACTGGTATATATTAATATTACTATTGATCTTTAGTAACTTTGTTGATACTTTTCGCGTTTATACATTGTCTGGTCCACCACAATATTGCAGAGGCTGAGATTAGTGTTCTGGACTTAACTGGCTGGGCTAGACAAGGAAGCAGCGCCAAATCATGACTCTAGACCGTTCGCACGTGTTCTATGCGTCACTGGTTCATTCGATAATTCGCTGCTCTCTAATTGGCGGTATCATTTCGTTATCCAATATACAAGCACAAAGGGTCACAAGTTATAACATGAATAAATACCATAAATAAAACTGAACCAATGTATCTGTATATGTAATTAAACTGAGATATTGTTACCAAATATTCAAATAACCAAGGTGAATACCTTATCCAGGACAGGGCTACTATGAATAGATATCGAGTAAGAAATTTAATACATTAATGGCTAATCTACTACTCCTAAAAAGCTAGTTAGTAACACGCTTATAGATCAAAAGGAGGTCTAATAAAACATTCGGGGACTAAAATAAGACTGAAACCTGGAAAAGTTTTGAATTTATTTGCTTAACTTAAGGGATACTAGACCAGTCGTATAGGGAATGCCAGTCAGAGTGCTCCAAAGATACAAGTTCTCTTCCGATTTCACTTATCACCCTTACAACGATATTTATAATGAATAATCGGTCCAAATAAGTAAAAACTAATTTCAATCGTTATTGACCATGTTAAACAATATTGATGCTCAAACAAATTGGACATAACAAATATTTATATCATGTTTCCTTGTGAAAATTGATAACTATTTCCTACTCTTATTTTATCAAAACCACAGTTAAGTTTTACGAACTATTAGAAAAACCAAAATCAATAATAGTGGATATATAATAAAATACTTATTAACAAACTCTGGTAGTCAAGTGACATTGGCTTAGCTAACAATCTATTTGACATTTATAAGCCCTGATATAAGAATGTGTATATGTTTAGAATAAGAACAAACACTAGCCTACGGATACTGAAAGTAGTGAACAGAACACAGATGGGAACAATCGAATGTATTTAATAAGAAATTACAAGACTGGTTAATTAAATCTAACAATCATAAAGTAAATGCTTAATTTGCAAAATGTCCACCAATTGTCTCATAATGACTCAGACTTCATTGTTCTTGCATTTTCATACAAATTGCATTCTGTTCTTATTCTTTACTGTTCAATCCTCTTGTCTCTCTGCTGCCAGATATTCTGTTCACGACTAACATCATCTACTACTTATGTCAATATAAGTAGCACACACCATAGGGTGAAACATGCTAAAGACCAAATTCTTATTCAACAGTTTTACAATATAAGTATTTATTAAAATGCCTAAAGATAATAAGTTTCGATGTGAAATAAACTGAATGAACAAAAATGGAATTTCTGAAGAAAAACACTGATCGACCACCAAATATTTTATTTATTTAATTAGCCAATATTAATTTAAGGCAAAACATTTTCCTTCCACTTAAATATGTCACAAGGGTACTAACACATTACAAACTCAATTTAACAGATATATAGATAGCCTGTCGTATGCCTGATGGTGTTCTCGTAACCTTCGGGCTGCCTGATCTGCCAAGGGCGATGGGACAGTGCATGATGCTATTGCTGTGTGCTAGGTTCAAAGAGAATTGTATGCTATATCCATGCAAATCCGCCCCGTTATTGTTAATGTTCTTAACCCAATATCTTTGGCAGCCTGCTTGAACACCTGTTTTTACCCTCTAGATATTTCAACAAGTTATTTTTTTCGTGTTTTAACATACCATTATGTGTATTAATCACATAAACTATTCAGGTGCGTTTGTAAAAAGCTTACGACCTTTCACTGTACAAGTTACAAAAAAGCCCAATTAGAAACATGATGGTTGCTGGCATTATGCATCGAAAATAATATGCATTATTCATATGTCGATTCCTGAACTGCTAACTTCTAACTGACAACCACTCAACAGTTATCGTCAGGATCGATCAAGAAATAAGAAACGGAAAATTGTTGAAATATTTTTGGTGAGGATTCTATATTGTACCAAAAGCTAATAATAATAAATAATAATCTTTGCAGACGGTTTTTATCGATATATGATATTTGATAAAGAATCATTCAACAATATGCAGCTCACAGTTTCACAGTTACTTCTTCCAAGTTTCAAGCACCTTAGCAGTGTATAGCCTACCTCCCATATGATATAAAGCACAAGTCTTTCAGTGGTCTACTAGAAAATGTATTTTACTGGGAATACGTTGTGTAAGAGAAAAACAAAGTAATAATTTAAATAAATAATATATTTATAATATCCCAACGAGTAGAAAAATTAGATTTTCTGACGTTTCGTGACTTAGTGTGAGCCACTTCTTCAAAGAATAAATAAAAGTTTAGATTTAAATGTTCCGATTACTATATGCCGATACCTGTTGTTATGTGTAAATGGTACCAACCAAGTGTGATCAGCAACTAAGTATATCCTGATCTGATATGATCACTAATCTTAGTCATTAAAGTCAAATTTGATGTCAAGTAGTTCAAGAAAATTACCAAGAAGATTTGGATCAGGCTTCATCATAATTCATCACCTAATGTGACAGACGAATATCTTACGACTAAGCTAATTGTCTCTCAAACAATCACTTGTAGCAGTGAAGTCTTACACTAACATTGTATCTGTTTACTCATTACTAATTACATTCTACTGAATTAATTGTAATGTAGTCAACAATTTCAACAACTCATTACGTGATAGTTTTTTTATGTTGATAGAATATGCCAGTCAGTAGGAATCCCTGATTAAACCGAGGTTTCGTGTTCATTGAAACTTATCATTTAGGCTGAATTCTTCAAAGAATCTATCTTTCTCTTACAATTTAAAACTATATCACTAATCACTAACCAACATGATCAAGTTGTTTGAAATGGAATCTTTTGATTTAACAACTATGTGTATTCATGACAAGGTCTATGATTTTGTTTTAGTTGGTATGTATAGTTATTCAACACTAAAAAAATTACCAGTAATTGTTTATTTTGTATTAACTTATGATAAGAAATACATTGAAACTTCTTCCTAGTTTCAAGATTCATTTGACAAGCTAATATTTCATATAAATCTATTTTGTAATGTTGAACACACATGAAAAAAACAAAAAAAACCAGGTAACCTATTAATATAAGTAGTTTTTGACGTAATAGTGAAAAAACATGATAATTAATTTAAATATATTACTTAAATATTATATTACATTATTATATATTACTTAAATTTATAACACAAATACATTTTAAGTATAAGAAACTATGTATAATTATATAAGAAAATACATAGTTCTTCAATGTTCCATTCAATAACATTTAACATGATCAATATTTAAAAACTAACATAACAAGATCATAGAAATGATCATTAAAATGCTCCATTCTACTTCTTTTATTGATTCTATACTTAAATATTGAACATACTTTTAAAAAAATTAGTATACAAATGATTTAGCGGTATCTATAAATAACTTAACTTTTCTATAATAAAACAAATTCTATGAGATAATGTAAAATTTAAAAGTGGCATTTAAAAATATTTAATGTGAACGTATTAATATATTGTTCACTAGTACTAAACAATAATCTTTTTCCAACAGTTGAGATCATGGGCTAGATCACCGTGGAAAACCTGGAAACACTGCACGACAGTTTCGTCCTATTGTGGGACTCCTCAGCAGTGCGCATCCACGACCTCACCCCCTGCGAGACTCGAACCCAGGACCTAGCAGTCTCGCGCTAGGCACTTAACCAACTAGAACACTGAGCTGACCGGCATCCAACGGTGTTAATATTTAACTTCAACTAATTCACGATTTTGAGCGACACATCCATAATTTTCATCAGTGAGTTACTACCTCACAACTGACCCGGTTGAACTCCACTGGTAACTGCTTCTCACTAGAACTCCATAATATATATCTTGAAGCCAGTCGCTAGTGAGCATATGTTGATTCATATCAGAAGGCTTTTTTGTGGAGATTGTAGTAATTTCAACAGTTGAGATCATGAGTCTTTTTATTATTAAGTTAAAAATGATAAAAATTAAACCAAAGTAGTTAAACTGTGACAAATAGTTAATGGTGAAACAATAATTTATGAATGATATTTGAACAATGCTAAAGTGACCTTAATATAACTCACTAACTTACTAGGGTTCAGAGAGGATTATAAATTAATATAAGAAATCAGGATTAGGATTTAGAATTAAAAGTTATGAAATACAGTAAAGTTTTTCATTATGAATTGATAATAGTTATAATGCCAAAATGCTATTTAACTAGAGAGATGAATGAAGTTCACTTCAAAATGCTTAACTTGTTATCTTTAGTTTCATTGGTTTGTTTATAAAATATAGTCTTGCCTATTTTATCAGTATGAAGTCTATGAAATTAAAACCATTTCAATTTTAAGAACGATTTATCAAAAAATAGGAATGTCGAAATTATTTCCAAAGTATTTCTTTTCATACATTAAGTTTTTCATTAGCTTGTACAATGAGGTGAAATAGCTATCTTGACTGAGTAGCTAAGTGGATAACGTGATAGAGTTTGAAATGAATGACACTGGGTTCGAGTTCCGGGGTGAACATCAACTCTGGTATGTAAGTACATCCAACTAGCGGGTCCCAAATAGGACGAAACGCTTGTCCTGAATTTCATTGATACATTCTGCCCCACAAATAAAGTATTTGGAAACATAATCCGTATGATTCATCTTTCTCTTTCTCTGTCTAGTAGTCATCGGCTATAGAATTAAGTTAGCTGAACATTCCATGTCTGCTTTAGGTAGATGAAGCATCTTTGTATTCATCAATCCTTCACATAGGATTCTTCAATTTAAAGATGATCAAACAACTCACTTAACTAATACAGCATCTAATACAATGTAGTAGAAGTGGAGACTGATTAATTGTTCTGACCGAATTTTATTTTCGTTTTTGTTTATTTATTGATTTACCTATAAGTTATACTATCCTTCGTTAAATAAAAACGATTATTTTAGAGTACTCATACTACCAGTCAGTTATAGTTGGCCAATCAGCTGTTCCGTCTTCTAAGGTGATGGCCAAGTTGTTTAACTTTATTCACCAGATCATGGACTCAACCCATATCCAGATTTAGATGGTGGTTGGAGGTAGTCAACAGGAAACCCTGGACCCGGGTTTCGTGCTACTTGACACTCGTCCGCAAGGTGTACCTGTAATCTTGGTGGCCACATTGCAACATGATTGATAGCATTCGATCTGCACTAATAAGGACTAGACAAGCATGACATTGATCACCACCCAGTGATCAATCACTTGTGATCAACCCATATCCACCTATTTTTTGTTCTGATATCCAGGTCTTATTACTTATCTCCATAGTAGTAAACACCATTGTTCTGATCCATTTCCTAATTACATTTGGTATTATTTATGATTAAAAAATCGGTTAAGTAGGTGCTGCATTTATTTCATATATGCAGTTTTACAAGAGCATTTCACTTCTAACTTAAAAATTTCATACCGAACCTTTGGACCAACCTAGACCCTACGCTGTAACTTAACCGACTTTGATGACATCAACAGACGTTCTAGAGAAAAATATAATATGTTAAAATACAAGTTGAATACTGTCTTAATGAAATAAAGTCAACTTACATTGGTGTTCCAAGAAATACGATAGCATCCCATTCACTCATATATTTCATTTGACCGCGAAGTTTTAATTTACCTCGATTTGTATCTGACTGATCTCCTGTGTTGTTCTGTTCATCATTGGTATTAATTTCTTTAATGTAATAAAGTTAGATAATGATAGTGATTTTTTTGATTGATTAATATACGTTTAGTTGATATCTCAATAACTAAGCTTAATTTAATCAAAAAAAACTATAAGAACTGAGGGACTACTGTAATTCAAAGACAAGCTTGATAACTATGAGATTCTATCTAAAAATTGTTCAGTACTGCTTAAGTAAATGCCATCTTGAACTTATGCAGAAATTATTATCAACAAGTGAGAATAAAAGTGATACTCTGTGAACCATACAATCTTGATTCGATTGTTTAATATAGGAGCTGAAGTTTTATAGTTAACCACATACCTTGTCAAAAGTGTTGATTGCTAAAAAGTATAAGATTAGTATTGATCAGATCAGCTTGTGATTACTACCTGCTTTCTATAAATGAAACTCATTTTATTTTGTTAAGAATATCAAACAAATTAGGTAAGAATGATAACATTTTCAGAATATATATTTCTCTCACCCTATCTGACCCATATTTATTCTGATCATAGATCTTGAATTTCACTTAACGTATATGCAGATTCATGTTAACATTCTATATGTGTCATATCAACATGAACAATTTTATTGTATTTTGATTAACAATCCTAAATTCAAATGCTTTAAACTATACACCTTACCCTTAACTAGGCCATTGTTCAGATTATTAATTTGGATATATGAATTGTAGAACCTGAAAGAATTTATTGAAAAGAATATCCTTCGTTCAAATATTAGTCTACGTTCTCTTAAGTTATATACAAGCTAATTAGTTTAGTTATTTTAATTCATTAACATAATTTGAGATTTAGGATGAAATCATAATACCCAATAAATAACGAGTAAGTTATTTCAGAATGTGAATTTAGCTAAGAGTTAAAGTTTTAATAAGGTTTTTATAAGTAATTTCAATAGTTGAGATCATGAGTCAATTGAAGTTAGATCACCATGGAAAACCTGGAAATGTTTAGATTTACGAGTGATATACATTTTTTTCTTTCGAATACTAATCAGTGTTAATTTGAAATAACTGAACCTATTAGGTTGTATGTAGTTGAAGCACAATGAGTTCTTTGTATTCTGCAAATATGTGTCATTCTTGCTTTGTTCCAATTTGTAAAGGGGTCCAATTGCAGGTAATTAAATGAATTGAGAAGGTCCCTCGTTCCGAGTATGAGTGATAAGCGTTTCCGACACAACTATCAGCGAACACCAGATATAAAAAGTAACGTTAAAAAAGCAAAGACAATCAGCATTCAATTGACAAGTTATAACATTTTTTTGTTCCCTTCGTTATAGTTTTCGTTATGATGAAAATTCAATCTACACCTTAGTTAGTACAATGTATGTTAATTTTAGGTTTTATTTAAACTAACCATGAAACTTGAATTTCTCAATCAGAATTTTTATTTGCTAATTTGTTTGTTTATTTAATGTATAGATTTGATGTAAGCTGAACAGCTATTGAATAATTGTATTAGTTGATAAATTCGTCTCGAGATGACGATCCCCTAAGCTCATAATATACACTAACTTGACATCTGCTCAGAGACTTTCAAGTTGAAATAGGTGTATACTTAAGTCAGAACATGAATTTGGAATAAAGTAACCATTTCATTACATAATTTATTTATTGTTAAACACTATCAATTATTGTCTTTACTACTCCTTATTAAGCTAACTATACAAGTTGAGAATTTCTTACTAACGATATCTTATGGTTATGGGTTCGATTTCTGATGATGTTGTGGGTGCGCACTACGGATCTGTCTCAAGTAGAGAGAAAATAATGTTCAATTCTACTTGGTTTTCAATGGTTCTCCAGCTGATCATGATCAGCGATGTTAATCGTCTTAGAAATAATAGACTATTTTAGGTAATGATGTGTGCATAAATGGAACATATTAATAAAAAGGACTGTAATATATGAATTAAATTCATAATTACCTTTGTTTATTTCATTACTTGTTAGTTCAAATATAATATTTGTATGCAGCATTATCTGAAATCAGACGAAAATTAAATTCGTTTGTGTTATACTATCAACAAATAAATTAAGTAAGATTAATCGAAATGAGAAATTTATAAACAAGGCAGATATGATAGAAGAGAATAAAAGTGATATCATGATATAATTTAGTGGATAATGTTCACTAGTTTAGTCTGCATTTTGTTCAGTAAAACATGGGTCGGCTTCCGAGGATTACTACTGCGTCTCTTGAGGCCCTAAAGGAGCCGCAGAGTTTCCATCCAATCACAACGTGGTGGAGCTTTCTGGAATACCAACGTGGTATGCTACTATTGGACAGTAGTATAACTTGCCTCTTTATGGATTGACTGAACAACGTTATAACAAGCGCTAATATCTATAAATACCCATGATTTTCTGTACATTTTGATTCTTACCCAACAAACACTTCTCCAGCTTTCTTCTGTCTTCTGATTTTACGACTGTGGGGTTCTATACGTTTGAGTGCCGTAGTTGCATACTGTATTCTGTGTTAATCAAGTACCGAACATAACAATTCGCTCATATCAACTCAGTAAAAATTTCATTTCATTTAAGTAAAGTATTCATCGATAAATCATCAAATCCCAATAAAATTTATTTACAAATAAGCATATATCGTCAAAAAAACTTATCATGTTTTTTGGAGGATGAGTGAGATCTTCATCCGTCACCTAATTTTGTGTTGTTCCTCTTGTTATTCATTTATGAGTTTACACCTATTTAACGTTTAGTTTGCGCAGTTAGAACCCACAAATACAAGAAGTTTATGACTTAACTTTACAATATTTGTTAGTATCTAAGCTATCAATGACTAGTTTCGAAATGTACTTTTTCTGAGGTTCCAATAAACACTGATGATCTTAATAATAATAAACTAAGCGGAAAGTGGAACCGATGACATTGTGTTAAAATCGTAAAAATATAATGAACTCGTAAATGGTAACCATTGACTTCAAACTTAATGCTAAGTGACCTGAAGTTTTAAGGTTCATCTTCATTTATGACATGATGCAATGTCATATTGCTGTTTAAATATGATATTTAATCAATATGTTATCCTTTTCATTTTTAATTTAATGTTCAGATCATTTCGGTGTAAAATCCAATAATATTGCCGCTATTTTAGTTCAATATGTTACTAATTGATTAACTGTTGAATATGTTTACAAAAAAATGCATATTTAGTCACGAAAGTTGTCGCGTGTTCGTATTGTAGTGAATAAGATACGTTCATCTGCCATCAGTGTTTGTTTTGTTTCTTACATTTAGTAAATCTCAGTTTCATTATGTTACAATTTCAGTTTGTATAGTTACAAGAGAAATGACGCCTCAATGTCACTAGTTGTCATACTTTCGTGACGGGTGCTAACTTCCTAAAGTTGTTTAATTAGAGTTACTCGAATTCTTTTTTTCTCCTTGATAAACATTTCGTTCTACGTTTTTCAAATCTATTGTCAAGGTTGGTCTGGAGTTTTTTCTATATATGCATTAAATATTAGCTGGAAAGTTATTGTCCATTTCGAACTTGGTTGCCATAGTAACCACTATATCTTATTTACTCTATTAAAATTCATAAATCACACACATACGCACGGTAATAATTATGCCATGTTTGACCACTTCACATTTATACATCCAAACAATATTTCGAACCGAAGTAAATTTGATATCACATTGTAAAATTTGCCTTCTTTTCTTTTCAAAAAGATATATTACACTTATTTGTGTAACGATTGTTTAATGACAATTTATTGGGCGTGGTCAAACTTTTGTTATCGAAATACACAGATTTCCATTATTTAAGAATTAATCTTTCTTACATCTCAAAGTAAATCTGTTTGTTCATCTCTCGCTCGCTAGCTGGCGATCACACATCTACTCATCAAATAAATTACTATGAACATATACAGATTAATTTGATGATAAATGATTAAGCAATTTTCTATCCTTACTAGTTTCATCAAGATAATCAGTCAGATAATAAAATTACTGGGAAGTATACATATATATTCTCAATTAATCTATTCAATGAAATGATAGTTTAATGACTGAAGTTGTGAATGAATATTAGTTACAATTGTGAATACTATACTAATTGTAAATTTGCATCAAAAAATGAAATTCCAACCACAAAGAATCAGATGGTGGTTGGAGGTAGTCGACAGGAAACTCTGGGCCCGGGTTTCGTGCTACTTGGCACTCGTCAGCAAGGTGTACCTGTAATCTTGAGGGAACTGGTGCTCCCTGACGGATTCTATCCCGTGTCACCCAGCTTCACAGTCATAGACGTTACCTCTGAGCTACCCGAGCCGTGACTGACCTCCTGTAGGACTGAGACCTAATCACAATTGATTGATCACTGGGTGGTGATTAATTTCATATGTGTCAAGTCCTTATTTAGTGCAGATCGAATGCTATCGATCATGTTGCAATGTGGCCACCAGTCTAAGTGACTCGACACTGCGGGCACTATATATTGAGATCAAATGGTGGTTGGAGGTAGTCGACAGTGTCGAGTCACCTAGACTGGTGGCCACGTTGCAACATGATCGATAGCATTCGATCTGCACTAATAAGGACTAGACACGCATGACATTGATCGCCACCCAGTGATCAATCAATTGTAAGCACTAGGAATAAAATGTCGCATGAAATTCCTCTTTAACACCTATTTCGTATTACAATTATTTAAAATATTCATAGATGACACTTGACAATAATGATTAGTAAATATTTCATTTTAATAGGGAAGTATATATTTAATTATGGTTTAGGGGTTAAGTGTTCGCGCGCGAGACTGATAGGTACTGGGTTCGAATTCCGCGTGCGGGATCGTGGATGCTCACTGCTTAGAAGTTTCATACTAGGACAAAACGGCTATCCAGTGCTTCCAGCTTTTCCATGGTGGCCGAGCTTCAATTGACTCATGATCTCAACCAATAAAATTACTACAATATCCATAAAAACCCTTTCTGATACGAATTATGAATATTTCCAATTCAAACTTGTAGTAATTACCTCTTTTATTCTGTTATTATTCGCATATGAACCTCCACAAAAGGACCATATATAAATTTCCAAGAAGTACTTGGAATGTCCCTACATTACAAGACTGTGTTCAGTCTACAAAAATGTGTCAGTTACATTTAATTCACTTTCTTAAGTTAAGTATCTGAAATTTGACTCTGTTCCAATGTTTTTGTTATTAGATAAGTTTACTAATGTAAACACAGCGAAACAGATAACTAGATGACTATGGTCCTACTTTCATGTAGGACAATATTATACCATATTATGAAAAAGAGCGTTTAATTCCATTACTAACCAAAGTTGACTGACCTCATGTAGTTGTATTTTCTCTTTATTTCTTCTCCTTTTTTCCTATATGATCTGTAATCTTCTGCTAAAAACACTTTAGGTATGAAGACAATCGTACTACATGTATGTAAGTTTCTTCCTATTGTAATTACTTTTAAATTAATGGACTATTAGTATTCAGTAAATAATAGTCAATTTCGAATAGTCTTACCTTCAATCTCTTGATGATAAAATGTTAACTTTAAATTTAGACAAGAAAAGAAACTGAACAGCCTACGGAGCTAACATAACTCCTGCATCATTATTGATTATTCTGTTTCATAAACTATATCAGGTGTTAATATCATTATTATTAAAGGTTTGAGCTATCTTGTTATTGATATTCATAAGTGAATTTTGATCAGTCTTGTTGGTATGTGTGCAGCGTTCGCTGACTAACTCGATACATGGATTCGATCAACAAATGGATATCCCAAACATAATGCATATATACTAGAAGTAGTTCAATGGGCTGAACCAAAACCGGTAAAAAAGTGAGAAATTCCTCCTGAGAAAAAAGCCCGAGATATCTTAGTTTCTTTAAAATGTCTTATAGCAGTTAAATGGTGATTTTATAACTGCCTTCTATATTAGTATCGTGGTATGTGCTACTGATAGATATAAGTAGTATGTATCATAAGTCAAAAGTGAAATGCCTGGAGGCAGAAGGTTAAGAAGATCGAAGAAAGGAGAACGAGAACAGAGAATGATTGCTGTGGAAACAAAGGAACAATGAAGCCTGAGACGATTGATTAACATTTTTCAACTGAAGTATTGATTGTATGGTTCTTAAATTTCAGTAAGAGATCCTGTAATTTTGTGTTCAACAACATTCGATTGTCCCCACTTGTGTTCACGTTCACTACAGTATTACTATATCTTACGTGTGCCTTCCATACAGAACCTCTTGCCTAAAAACATTTTAGAAAACCCAAAAACCTAAACCAAACTGGTTTTAAGTCTGGAGTTTAGTTTATTTCAACAAATTAAGATCTCCATCACATCAGACAATGTCATCACCTTCTTTTGATACCGAGTTAATATTAGATCTCCACAGTATTGCAAGGCTTAACTTATAAATAATTTGGCTTTCTACTCTTACTGTGAAAGAATAGTGAAAACAGAAAACTACGAAAGTGAAATTCAAAAGTATTTTGTGCAAAACAACTGATTTAAAACTAGTAAGATTTTGCTGTAACCCGTTTTCGATACTAGGAACTAATTTTGATCAGTCTTTGTTGGTATATATGCGTTTTGTGTCGAATGCTTCGATATAACCATTATGGCATAAGTTATGAAGAATATATCTATTGTAAACGGAATATATATACATTGCGGTTAGGATTTAGTGACCCAGTAAATAACGCGTTAGCGTTTGAAACGAAAGGTAATGGGTTAGAGTTTAGGTGTGAACATCAATACTAGAATACAGGTGCAACCAGTTAACAAGTCCGATATGTGATGAAAAGAGTTTCCCGGATTCTATTATTAGCCACAAATCATCAATTCTAAATTATTATTTCAAGAAAAAAAACGAGAAAAAAACAGCTAGAATAATGTACTGGAATATCAGTCACACTTACATCATCCCAAGTGAATGGTATAACGGGTCTACATAAAAGAAATATATCTGTCACATTTTTTCCAACTATGTTTGGTAGCGCATTGGCCATACTTCTACCGATATTCAATAACTTCATACCACGATTAAATACGAAATTGAAAGGAAATGCTTCGAAGAATACAATCGCTGGAACAGGTAGTTCTTCATCTATTTCAGTAAACGAATGATTATGAAAATGTAAACGTAGAATTGTTTCAACTTGTTTACCACGATCTTTTTGACCGACGATCTATGAAGAAAAAGTGTTATAAAAATTAAGAAAAAACCATTCATTTGGATAAATATAATGAAGGAGATTATGGAACGGGGAATTTTGACAATATGTTATATAATCATAGAGTAAGAACATATCGGTAAAACTTAGTTTCGTAATAGTTTTAACTTTTTTAGAATCAGTGAAATATAACATTGAACGCTAGTTAGATTGTCCATCTAGCTCCTACTTTAGAAGACTGGTCAATGGACGTTAAATAGCTGATGATAAATGATCGAGGACACGGAAAACGAGTACAGACATATTAAACTACCCCATGGATCAAACACTCAGAGCAAATCGGCTGCCTCTTATGCATAACCTTTCTTTAATCTGCTGAACAAATATATGTTGTCTCTTGTAAGTTTTCGTTTCTTCTCTTGAATTAAGAAAGCAGGGTATTCTGGTCATCATGTTGAAATGAGATAAACCAGTAAATCGTTAAATGGTGTGACTTTGAAGTAAAGTTACGTAAGTTAAGTAGCCACATCATTCCCATCCAACTTTAAAGGATACAAATTATTAATCATATAATCAATGTAAGAGCTAGAAAGGATTGCCCAGGACAGGGTTGGATGAAGAATGCTGGTGGGCGGCCTATGCTCCTCCACGAGGAGCAACAGGCGTAAGTAAGTAAGTAAACTCCAATAAATCAACTATAGTCAAACATCCACATCCTTATCAAATATTTTAATTTTGAGTTAGACGATTTGGCAGAGATTTTCAAAGGCGATTCTCACAACAACCTAATGTCAAATAAAGAACCATTGAAAACTAGAAAGGAAGGACAACAGAAAATTGTTCCTTCTATGTTTCAGACAGTTCAATATCACACATTCACAAGTTCAAACAACAGTGAAACTAGGATATTTAAATGTTTTAAAGAGCACGATATTTTAAACTCGATGTATTGGAATTCAATAATCAACACTTTTTAATCCCATCAGTTTGCAATATGACACTATCATGTTAGGTGAATTACTGCCCATTTCATATGTCACTTCTTATCACTAAAAGTTCAGGAAACATATCATGGGGCTAATCACGAATAAACATACAACTATTGTTCATTTAAGTAGTTTCCTCGAAGAACTTTATTATAATGCAGTACAGTTTTTATCTCGTGATAACAATTAAAATGGAACATTTTTTAAAATTTATCCAAAACAGAGTAGGCCATGGAGTGTTAAAATGCTGATGTTCACAAATGTACATATACACACACGAAGAGATCCCTTATTTGATTTGCCACACTAAGAAAATAAGTAGATAATCACTTTTCTTGCACAACATCCATCCGATGTCGAATGGTATGGTAGAGAGATTGCATCGGCAACTTAAAGCTTCTCTTACAGCTGTCATCAGCAATAACGATTGGGCCAGCAAGCTACCGTTAGTCATGTTGAGCTTAAGATCAACAATCAAACAAGATATAGAATGCTGCCCAGCAGAATTGGTTTATGGAACCACACTACGTCTGCCAGGAGAGTTTTTCACTGCAGGTAAAAGCGATCCAACTGATATAGCGGACTATGTACAGCGTCTTAAGCAGCATATGAGTAGTCTAAGGATAACGCTTCCGAGACAACATCAACGCCGTGTGTACATACCCAAACAACTAAGTGACAGTACCCATGTGTTTATCAGAAGGGATAATGTGCAACGTCCCTTACAACCAGCCTACGATGGTCCATTTAAGGTGATTAAACGAGACGACAAAACTATCACGGTAGAAAAAGCTGGAAAAACGGATGTAATTAGCATCGACCGAGTCAAACCAGCTTTCATCGAAGCCTACGATCAGCCAGTACATACAGATACTGCGAAAACCGTTGAATCATCGAAGCGTCAGTTCCAATCATCAACGACATCGACGAACACAAGCAAAGAGAATCCAGTAACGACAAGGTCTGGCCGAAGAGTAAGATGGCCCCAACATTATGTCGCTACAATCTTCTATTAATAATTTTCTACTATTTAAAATATTAATTATAACTTCCACTTCATTGTATACACATGCATTACTAATTTCATGTTATACGCTATAAAACTCAACATATCTTATGTACCCCTACACTTACACGTATAATTTTTATTTAAAATGTAAAGCAATACCGCATTCCTTCTATTTATTGCTATTATTTTATAAAACCTCACGGACGGGCGCAAACCAAATGTACAGCACACACTAACTTCATCTTAATTTTGTACAAACCATTTTTTTCAAACGACTGTAACTACCCTACTCAGTTTACTATTTTTTTTGTGCAAACACAGACATTTTTCCATATATCTTTGTTTGCAGGGGGGAGCTATTATAGTGACTCACGTGCAATTGAGTTTAGTTCAGTCAAGGTCTTTTGTTGACCTATTTAATGGACAAAGTCATCCATGATATAACAACTTGTTGTATTATCTTTATTATTATGCTTGTATGAAATACATATGCTTGAACATTGTTTAGCGCCTACGCATGTATTCATTCTGCTAGCTTCATTATTAACTGCTTAATATATTCGCTGACTCATCCATTTTCCTATACATATATATATGTGTACATTTGCATGCATTCACTACTTCCACTACTACTACTACTACAACTACTTGCTACTGCTACAATCGTAGTTCGCTTGCTCATTCATTTTGCCTCTCTGCTGTCTGGTCCGAATTATCTACTAAATAAACTGTAGTAGCTGCTTCTATTTGCCTTCTGATTTCAAATATCGTTGAAGATTATACGATAACGGTTCGAGGGTGATTAATTAACGAAGCACAGCCACTACATAATCATATAACAAATGCCTTAACATGCATTCACGATGTTTTCCTTTCTTTAAAACCTGGTTCATTCTCATTGAACAGATTATGTTTAAGCAGATTAGGGAATTTCAGATAGACGTTTGTGCTGCTGATGTCGTTCAGAAGAACGATGAAAGCCCCACGACAAACCATCCAGCTCAGAGAACAAAAATCCATCAAAGTCATCACCTGAGCTACAAATCTTCTCCATCATCTCGAATTTCTGTCGTATGCACATCAAGACCACTATTTATTCTAATAATCCAACAATTTTTAGGCATTTTGTTTTACAATAGAAGTCATTTTGCACACTCATTTTTTTGGTAATTGATGCTCACAATCATTTATAATATTTTTATAAATAAAGATGGGGTTAACAGTAAAATAAAAAAACATTAATTCACCAGTCAACTATGATAAAATTTGATAGTTGAATGCATGAGTCAAATAAAGCCAGACAACCATGGAAAACCTGCAAGCACTGAATGGTCTTTTTGTCCTATCATAGGACTCCTCAGCAATGAGTATCCACGATCTCACACGCGGGATTCGAACCCAGTACCTATCGGTCTTGCGTGTGAACACTTAACCTCTAGACCACTAAGCAGGCATCCAACGGTGTTAATGTCTAACTTCAACTAATCCACGAAATAATAACTTCGACTTAAAGAGAAGTAATTTTAATAGAATGTAATGAATCAACGATACTTTTATGTTTAAGTTTCCTAAAAATTTATTCTAATTGCAATTTTTATGAAAGTGAACATACTAATCTACACTAATACTTCACTCAACGAGTTCAATCTTTTGATTTAACTTTCTCTCACGTTAATCATTGATAAGTTAAACTTAACAAAAAACATATAAAAAGAAGACTACCAAATGTTCAGATTAAGATTATATGATTAGTGAAACCTATTAACTGATAGATGTTATTTGACTACTCAAATCTAACTATTACTGCAATAATTCATACTCCGAATGAACCAGATAGGATATGTCAAGTCATGATTTCATAGCAAGTGAGAAACAAGATTAGTTAAACTCTAATACATATTTAGATCATTTGTTTAAACATGATTACCGACCACAAATTCACCATCTTGACTACTATATCTTTCAGTACACATAAACTGTAAGTAACTATTCACCTTTATATTCAGTGTCTTCCTTCTTCTTTTTCTTTTTCTAAATAGTTAAGTTGGCTAAGTATAGATGAGCATATAGTCAGTTGAATTAAATCTAAAGTCATATAAATAATCTATTTCATTAGTAGTTTATATCAACGTAATTATTTAAAACTGATCAATTTATGAATCATATTTTATACAACTAGTACAAATGAATGAAATGATCTAGTTTTAAACGTTAGTTAAGCCTACTTAAAGTATAACGTATATTATCTATCATTAAATACAAGCAAATCGCATTTACTAATATAATCTTGATATGCATAACATGATTTATTTAATTTGGATTAGATGTAGTACTAGTAAATTAAGTTATAAACATTAAAAAGTGATGTATATTACACGTTTACATTAATTTTAAATAGAATTAAGAGTTATCTAGTGTAAAATGATTATTTTATCTTATTCTAGTACACTTCGTATTTATTTTCATCACTAGTGTAGTGAAAGTATAGAACAAGATTTGAACTAGTGAACTAAGCACTATTCAACAATCCGTTATAATTTTTGGCCTTGTGCCCTATTAATATATAACGTAATGATACCACCGTTTAGATAACAGTGCTTTATCGACTGGACCAATGATACGTAAACCTGTAGGAGCAGTCTAGAGTCCTTATCGGTCTTCAGAACACCAATCTCAGCCTCTACGATATGAATCATGTATTTCGAACATACTGGGTTTATATACAAACCAAAAAAGAACACATCGCACCACAACATAAAAGACAACATTTGTATAAGATCTAGGTAAAAGTGATTATGAATGTGGAGGGGCGGCTGTAATTAATAAAACTGGGCATAAATCAAGGACGGTAAATCGTATAATAATAGTCTATGGGTCAAAATAAGGCTTATAACAAGAGGAACATGAGTATGTATAGTTTAAATACTTAACGATTATACAGTAAAAATATATGTATCGTACTGGTTCATAAATAGTTCTCAAAAGTTACCATTCATAATCCTCGTCGGGATATAACACAG